TTGGTTTTTATAAAAGACATATGAAATGATCTGAACAAATGATAGTTGGACGTTGAATGTGTGTTGTCAAGATAGCTCAGTTGGGAGAGCGTCAGACTGAAGATCTGAACGTCCCTGGTTCAAATCCGGAGAGCTCGCATGAGCTCTGAATAATCCCGGGTCTCGGCAATGGTTTTATTTTTTGCAGTGTTTCTCTTTTCCTCTTTCTTTAAGTGTTTTCTACGATTAAAGTTTTGGCCTCCTACATTATTATTTACAACCTTTAGCTTATTAATGCAAAACAACTGGCATTCTCAGTCTTTCCCCAACTGACATCAAATATTCACCCTACGATTCTGTCATTTGCAGGTGGGTCAATAGGAAAGACCCTGAAGGAAAGAACATTTTTGGCGGAGGCTTCCTTGGACTGGACAACATTGGTAAGCATGGCATGTTAAATCAGATCAATACCGTTGAGTGTCTAGGGTACATCTGATCCAAACCACGTGCTTCAGCTAACGGATGTTTTGTTTGATTGTAGGTTTATTTGACAGATCAAAACCTCTTCCCCCTGGAGATCGCCTTTGTCAGGTAAAGACTGTGATTTTCTGAACAACGTGCCCCTTTCCCAGTGCTTGGCCTCTCCAAATTTCTAAAGCAAAATCGTGGGAAGGAAGCTTCATTCTTTGCTATCTGCAAGGTTTTATGGTTAAAATACAGATTTTTAAATACTACTGTAGTTTTGAATAAAAATCTATGATTTTTCAAAATAGTCATGTTTTAGCTAAATAGATTCCTTAAACCTAGAAGGACTGCACACGCGCAGGTTTTCATAATATAAGCTCGTTTTTGGATCTTGCGAATCAGGATAGGCTCCTATGTGAATTGTTTGAGATTTGTTTAGGAAAGACTGGGATATTTTTCAAGGCTTGTAACCGTTGTCCACCCATGCATGAGAAAATCAAATTCAAACCAGCCTCACCCCTTGGCTATTCCCTTGGAAACTAGCTGGAAGGGGAGGGAGGGTTATCCATTTACTAAAGGAAAGTCGGCCTTGAAGACAATGTTGACATTCAAAGGTAGTACATAGCAGGGGGTTGAAATCTTCATCTTTGTTTTCCTCTCCCTACAGGCTGATGGAACCGCGTGGATGGCCATGTATGCTGTTGTGATGCTCAACATCTCCTTAGAGCTCGCTCTCTCTGATTCTGCTTACGAAGACATGGCCATTAAGTTCCTGGAACATTTCACTAGCATCGCGGACGCTATTAATCAAATGTCGGATGGGTTTGGACTTTGGGATCCAGAGGACGGATTCTATTACGATCACTTTCACAGAGGAGATGACTTCTTTCCTCTGCGCGTGCGCAGTGTGGTTGGCCTGATTCCCCTCATGGCCTGCTTGGTGCTGGACGGAAAATACCTCGAAAAATTGCCCGGATTTAGAAAACAGTTAAAATGGTTCATGGAAAACAGAAAAGATCTTGCAGGACAGGTTCGTTGAGGAGCACCCACAAAGTAAACCCAACGAAGCATAGAAGATTTATCGATTTTTCGATTTATCGATCCACTCACGAAATGAAATCCATTTATGAGACGACACATGAAGACCAAAAAATATGAGTGACACTCACCGAGACAAAACTAATATTGAAAAACCAAAATATGGAAGAATTAAAACAAACATGACTGAGTTTTGTTGAAACCGAGTGACGTTGAAAATAACCCCTCGCCAAGAATAACTAACATCAATTTTCTTAAAACAACGTCAATACTTCATCGGAGAACAGGTTATGAGAAGTGCTTTTCTGTTGTCAAATTCTCTTAACTAATTCCTTAAGGAAGTGGATGGAGATTAGTCTGGAAAATTTTTGTCCGTCTGTCGCGTCTGACTACTTCATTGTCCTCTAATGATCAAATGATAAGCAGTTATTGAATGAAGCTGAGTGTGAACTGAAGGATTGTGCAAACGAGCAACACCCTTCGAGATCTGTATAATAATTAATCAGATCATACGAAAGCCGATTCCAATAATTCATAGCTCAAAAACAAGCTTAAACATACTTGCCTCGTACCGTCCTCATTTGTCTGTAGCTTTGCAAATTCAGGAGATAAAGGGATGTTAAGTATAGCGGGATATTCTTCACATAGCAGATGTCATCCATCCAGTTGTATTTTTGCTGTTCTTGCTATGATTTTAGTCAGTACTTCCGCTATTTCTCCTTCGCAAAACGTGCCGGAAATGTACCATCTTCTACAGCTGGAACAAATTATCGTAAACTTGTCCCCAGGGCTTCTCTGTTGCCGTCCCTTTCTTTGGCATTTATCGTGTATTATTGACGTCATTTTATCAGATATAATAAACTTCTTCCGGTTTTAGTCAACGCTAGCTGTTTATGAAGTAGCCGGGAGATTTGAGCCAATCAGAAAACGGAGAAAAAATGTTAAATGAATAATAAAGTCTCTTATTTCAACAGGTCGCTTCCAAGAATCCAAATGAAGACTCGTATCTCCTTGCAATTCCTTCCCGTGAGCAGCTTCGTAGCATGTTGTCCTACATGTTAGATGAAGATGAATTCCTGTCGCCGTATGGAATCCGTTCAGTGTCGCGTTACCATGAAAAGCATCCTTACGAACTAAACTTAGATGGAACAACATACAAAGTGGACTATGTCCCTGGAGAATCGAACACGCACATGTTTGGAGGAAACAGCAACTGGCGAGGACCGATCTGGCATTGTAGTAAGTATTGAAAAACTTTGTTTTGGTTCCTTTGTTTTGTTTCATCCCAGTGTACCAGGCTGACAACAGCCAACTTTGCATGGAAATTTATCTAAGTTTCAACCCCCATTCTGAGCGTGGGTCCACTGTGGTGCAATCAATCTGAGTGGTCGTAAAAAGCCTGAAGACATTTTGGCAAAGTTTAGAAATCTGTATCAGAATAGAGCTGAGACTTTTCTTCTGTTTATTTTCAGTTAACTATCTGATCGTTGAAGCACTTAAACGCCACGATTACTTTTACGGAAACAGCTTTAAAGTTGAATGTCCAACAGGCTCTGGAAATCTAATGCGTCTAAGAGACGTCTCCATGGAACTTTCCCGCCGTTTGGTATCAGTATTTCTTCCAGATAAACTCGGTTACAGGCCCTGTCATGGAAACGAGGACCGATACGCAACGGACGAGGACTGGAACCGACTGGTGTTGTTCTACGAATACTTTGATCCGGAGAGCGGAAGAGGATGTGGAGCGAGGTGAGAAAATAAAACAGTGACCTCCATGTATCATTTGATAATTTATGCTGCCAACCTTTATAACGAAAGACTACTTAGCAATGATCATTAGCGAGGCCGATCAAATCATTTTGATGAAAGTGACCGCATTCACAGACGTGTTCGCGTGATCTGTGAGTTAACGCAACCTCCTTCCCAGGTCTTCTCCCTCGTTAATTAATTTCTTTAATGGGAATATTAAAGTAGCCCTTTGCATCTAGTTATTCACATGGTACAAAGCCGCCTTGCCGGAGAGCGAGGGATACAATGGGATAAGACAAATCAAAGGCTTAAATCTTGTCAACATTTGAAATGGTAATTTCCTTTGTTTGTCTTGCCCCAATACTTCTCTTACTCTCCAACATTGTGGTTTTGTACCACATAAATGACCAGCTGCAAAGGGCCTACAGCATGACTTCGCACATCGAATCGATCATCTTTGTTTCGACCCTTCAAACCTAAGAAATCTGTCTGTCCTCTCTTGATTGATCAACTTGACTTATTTATCAACAAGCTAATCGACGCATCCGCTTTCTTTTATTTCAGTCACCAAACTGGTTGGACAGCTCTTGTCGCTCCACTACTCGATAAAATCGCTGCCACAAGGACCAGAGACGTCATCCAAAACGCGATAAAGCGCCCTGACTGTTAAATGGGGGGAAAAAACTTGAGTCACGGCACGCATAGATCGTAAAAGAGGATAAAGAGAAGAGGCCTTGGAACCTTGAATTTGTCCCATCTTTAGCACTCTTAGGTTGCGTATTAATGTTCCTGATTGGCTGTTTTTGGCCGCTTATACTATCTACGAAGAGTGAGCTTCGCAACGCTAAATCGCTCCATTTTTGCTTCCTATGTAGCCTTCGAACATGGAAAAAAATCGGCCAAAAAAGTTCAAAGTAACAAAGAAAAGAGAGGATATTTTCTCTGGAACAATCAAGTTTGTCAAATAAATAAATCTAATGAAGGCATTTCGTGATAAACATGTAAATAATAAAATGTTAAGAAAGTTTCAACGATATTTAAGCTGTAGTGAAAAATGCATCAATGTCCCTTTGTAACCTGTAAGCTAAGAGGTGGCATTGACCGAGTTTTATCAGCTGACGTTCCGTATAAGATGTGTCCTTTTTATGTAACATACAGGATTGTCAAAATGCAAAGCTTAATCTTTAGGGATAAGGGTTTCTTTTTGCTTTAATAGGTTGAGCCAAGTATTTGATGGAATTAGATACTTGATCGGTTAAGTAGGCCGTTGCTCTTCGATGTTTCTTGGTGCAATCTTGGGTGTGGCTTTTGGGCAAGGATAGGAGCATGGCGAGACGAACTTGATATTAAGTTAAACATTTTAAAGTTTTTAAGTGTTTTAATTATTAGAAAACTGTAGATATATACAGTGTATATAAATAAGAACTCGGTTACTACTTGTGGATCTTGGGTTGCTATTGACATTAAAAAGTTTTTTCGTCTTAACAAATACAATTTTTTTCAAATATATGTACATAGAAACTATTCCATGAAATATATACTGGGCCGACAAAATGTACTGTTCTTCTTTCCTGGGAATCGTCTCTTACTTAAATTACTCGACATGAAAAGGTAACGTTCAATATTTTATTCATCCTTGGATGACAAGTGTAATTTATTGCTATATGTGGTAGACCACAATTTGACTGGGTACGAGTCTGGATATGTCCTGCAGTTCACTCATAAAGCGTGAGAGCGTGACGCAACGCTGTGGCTGACAGGCGGGGATTACAATTGTTTGATCAAAAAATTTTGTTCCCACGCATAGATGCAAATTATCAAAATACGCCTCTCCCTTCCCACGGACCACTTTAAGGCTGCACAATGGCAAAGAAAGTGTCGCTTTTGTTTCTTTTTCTAACATTTTCTGCGGTTACCTCAGCACCTGCAGAACGAACAAAGGTCTTAATTCTGGGCGCTGGTGCAGCAGGAATTACTGCTGCCAAAACCCTTCACGATCAGGGAATTGATGACTTTATTGTTCTGGAGGGACAAGATTATATCGGTGGACGAATAAAACAGGCATCGTTTGCTGGTATGAAGGTGGAATTAGGAGCCAACTGGATACAGTTTGCAAATGAAAAAGATAACCCACTGATGTTGTTAAGAAACAAGTACAACTTGACCGGTCATTCATCCAATTTCAACGACGTTCGTATCAGGTAAGAAAGAAATGAAAAGTAACTAACTACGGCTTGGTGACGCTATCCACTGGCAACTGTACAGTTTAGTTCTAATCAACTAGAAGCACTAAGACAATCTCAAAAAGAAACTTAAGACCAGAGTAATCCGCACCTAAAGCAACATGATATATATGTAGCATTATCGACTCTTCGAATGTCCTATTCGGCTTATTAACTGCTACAATAACTCCAAATAATTCAACATCATAGCAGCGACAGTCTCAAAACAGCAGGCTTTTGGATCATGTTTTGTGTTTATCATGTGACTGAGGAATTCATGCACAGTACCCTGTACGTCATGATCGATCGCGTGATTTCGTATTTTTAAAGTCACGAAGAGCAGTCAGCTCCTGACGAAGAGTTGTTTTGACTTCACAGAAAATGGTCCGTTAATCTTTCATCAAGCAGGGTCAGTTGTCTAAAGAATCTTTAGTTACTATTTAAAACTATTTTAAAATCATCACAGGTACAATCCACACATGAAATAGCACAGCAAGATGACATTTTTAGCACCCGAACAACTTTTTCACACTGTTAATTAAAACTTACTTTGGAAAGGGCATTGGAGCGTACCACTTAGAGAAATAACATCATTGTGATGTGTTGGTGTGTGTATGAATGACATTATACTTCGGAGACGATCGGAGGCAGTATGCAAATTTCAGCTACAGGCTGATGTGTAATTCTGTCCTCCCAGTTCTCTAACAGTTGGGGTAAGGTGGGGATGGCTCTCTCCAATCCCCACAGAACAATTGTGGCAAACTGCGTAAGACTAACAACTCAAATACCCCGTTTCCGATCACATGGTTAGCGCCCATGTTGGATAAATGAACGAAAAAAGAACGTGCTTAACATAAGAAGTCTTCAATTGCCACAGGAATGTCTTGATATACCAATATGACCGTTGATTTAACTGTAAGCATTAAAAAAGTTCCAAGATTTCAAATTCCAGACGGTATGTATGCGTTTTAACAAGCAGTGTTTACTTCGTTACTGTAAAAATTGGGGGGAAGAAACTTGGCTAGACCAAATTCAATTTCTTGAAAATTTGAACTTTCAAAGATTGCCGAGTTCTTATTCGACGTAGATCGAATTTAATATTTTACATTGTTTTCTTTCTTTATCCTTAGAAATATTCACAGTCACGGAGCCGGCGAAAGGGCTGACATGGAAGTGTTTAACGAATGGCGCAAGAAACGTGAAGAGCTCTTTGAGATGGGAGAGCAGAGAAGTGAAGAAGATGTTCCACCAAGAGATATGCCAGTCTCAACTGCACTTCAAATGCTTGGCTGGACTTCTGACACTCCCTTGAAAAAAGTTCTTTCATGGCTTGACATCGATTTCGAGTATGGCGAGAATGAACATGTGACGTCATTGAATAACGTGGGTCCACCTGGAGAGGACTTCTTCATTACTGATCAAAGAGGAATCTGGACTCTTTTTAGCGATTTTTACTCAAGTTTTGAAGAGAAAATATCACTGAACAAAACAGTGGTTCAAGTCAAGTACGACAACAATGGTGTGGAAGTCATCACAGCCGATGGCGACACCTTCTCTGCAGACTACGGTTTGTGTACCTTTAGTTCTGGAGTCCTGCACAGTGAGTCAGTAAAGTTCGACCCTCCCCTCCCAGATTGGAAAAAAGAAGCCATTTATCGCCTTAGGCCGGTTTACATGACAAAGATTTTCCTCAAGTTTCCTAGCGACTTCTGGGATGATAATGAGTGGATCTTGCATGTTTCGGTTCCGAATGCAGCGCATTTTCCCGCCTTTTTTGATCTTGATCGAACCGGGTTTTTCCCTGGATCAACCGCTCTGTTTACAACAGTGACGGGTGATGAAGCAGTAAGAGTAGAAGCTCAGGATGATTCTAAAACCAAGGAAGAAGTGATGGAAGTGCTTAGAAGCATGTATGGTTCAAACGTGACAAACGCAACAGGTAGTTGACTATCAACCTTGCTAATGCACTAGTAATTGACCGACAGAAATGCCATCTCTAGATCTTAACTTTTGTTAGGTGAAAATGAATAAGATACGAAAAGGTCGTCATTAAGTTTCCATGCAAATCGGTGTTAATGAAGTTTAGTATAAAGAAATGATTTTGTTAGACTGACTAAATAGAAACTACCAATTGATTGATTCTTGATTGATCTCTGACGGAGTGACTGAATTGATCGTTCCACCAACTGACTGATTAAAATCGATCGGTCGATCGATCAACCGATCAATTGACTGATTGACGGAGGCAGTTGTCTGGTTGTTCGACTTACTAACATAACCTGCTTATGCTTTGCTGGTGGGCTATTATTCATTTTGGCGCAGATTTTATAACAATTAAAATACCGTAAAATTCCGAAAATAAGTTCCTCCATGTATAAGCCCCTCCAAGTATAAGCCCACCAAACTCGTAACGCAAAAACCCTCCGTTAAATCGCCCCTCCAAATATAAGCCCCGCAAGGGCTTGTGCTTGGAAATTGACCTCAAATACAAAGTAAAGAAAAGCAAAAACGGTAAATTTCCTTGAAACTATAAAGCTAGCCCAATCGATTTTGAAACGCAAATTTCCCTCCATAGATAAGCCCCTCGAAATATAAGCCTCTCAAAGAGGGCCTTTGAAGAATAGAAGCCCCGGGGCTTATTTTAGGAATTTTACCGTAATGAAATAGAAAAGTAATGACTTTTCTTTCTTCTATTTGAAGAAATTTTGGTGAGCAAATGGTCGCAAAACCAGTTCACTTTGGGATCCTGGACAGACCCGGTAATCGGCACTGACGCATCCGTCTTCGCGAACATGGCAGGTCGAGTAAAAAAATTATTTTTCGCTGGTGAGGGCACACATGGAGAATGGTACAGCTTCATGCAGGGAGCGTACTTGAGTGGACGTGATAAAGCCAAGGAAATAGCGGCGTGTATCGAGGGAGAGAAGTGTGAGCCATACCAACCTTCCACAGGACTACCAGTGATAGTTAAAACACAGGACTGCCATGTGAAGAGCATGGCATCCCATATACAAATGTTGCCTGTTGTCAATCTTCTGTTTTGGTTCATGTTTGTCATCGGTTGTTCTTAGTTTGATAATTAAGTATCTCAGCAGTAGAATGTTTTAAAAGTTGATTAGCTTAAAACTGATCAGTTCACTTACTCAATCGACAAAGTACACTGAAAAAAGGAAGGTTGCTCTAGTGTGTGATAACTCTGTCTACCGTTTGTCGCACAATAGTCACTTAATTGCTGCTCACGACTTTTCGACTATTTCGACCACCTACTATTTACGTTTATAAGGCGATAATACCAAATGGCAGTTGTCAATTGATGCAATTTCAATTTCATCTTATGATTTGAAGAACTTATTCTTCACCTGAATTTAAATACAATTTTCTTCACTAAAGTGGAGTTGAATGGGGGATTGCTTACCAGCGATTCAGAGAGAGATATACCTACCACAATACTGTAGAAATTCTGTAGGTTACCGCTCTCAGTTAACTAGCCCGCCCCCGGTCCAACACTTTTAAAACAGAGAGAAAGGAAAAGTTCTTTGAAGGATCATGATGCAAGACATGTTGATTTGTAATTTTTATCTCCTAATAAAGACTAGTAAGAAAAATAAGCAGTTAAATGATAAGCACAGTTGTGTTTACTCTAATACCCGATTTCTGCTTGACAGTCGTTGTATCAGTTTAACTTTTAGTACCATCCTACATTTGTAATTTTTTTAAAAAATCGGCCTAAATCGATGACCATCGATCATCACCGTGAGTTAACGAATAGCGCTGTTGGAACCGCCGTTTGAAGATTAAGGTATACTTCCAACCCCTCAATAATGGGGCTCAGGCACATCGGAAGCACAAAATGGTAATACGGATTTCAAATTATTTCCAGCCAACAAAGAAAAACAGCAAAAACGAGAACAAAAGCGACTTAAGCTGGCTTCCATTGCAGCAGCTACATTGCAAAAAACACATTTTTCTAGTTAAATCATAGCACTGCTTCAATAGGAAGTGAGAAATCAACCATATCGATTAAATGAATTAGTAATTACTAGGATTAACTGATATCACTAACAGACTCGGTATTCTGGAGATGATAACCCAAGTAACACATGATCAGTCTCAACATCGATAGGAAGTACATCGCAAAACAGTAATAATAAGATCTAATAAGTTTAAACTGTTTTATAGAGTTCCCAGGTACTGATCCAGGAGTTCTTGAACTTTTCACTTGTTCATCGAAAGCTCTTTGCGCTTCTTCGGGCCTTCTCCTCATAAGACGCCCTGTTGTGATTATATGCCTGTAGTAGCGCCTGTTCAGCGGAATTCTCCGGCTCGGGTTTGATGAGCAAAGAGAACACAGCACTCAACACATCTCGAACGCAGCGAGTTGGTAACCAGTTTTCCTCTGAAAGGAAGCCCAGGCACACGTGACCAGTTGACGGACTTACGTTCAAGTGATATATTGGAGACAGAAAACAAACCTAAAGTGAAATCAAATACAACAAAATTCTATCTCTAGAAGACTCATAATGACAGGGATACTAAGGCAAATCAAAGTTTGATTAAAAAAAAAGTCTTGGAAAGATGAAAGAATTCCGTTTTGTAAGCGTAACTAAAAAATGATTTTATTCCTAACTTTCCTGAAGTCGTGCATACCCTCCCCCTCATCTAATATGAAAATAGGTGAAAAGTCATGATTCTTCCCTTTGCTTTTCCCTGCAGGCATGAGGAAAGTATACTTATTTTTGAAACTTGCTTCAATGATGAGGTTACACCTAACAAATGTAATCCCTTGTAATATTTCAGAATGAACTAAACCACCTGTCAAATTTATTCGCAACATTTCTGATGTAAAAGGGTAAGCGATGGCGCGCCCAGAGACTGAGCGGGAGAGCAAAGGAGACGTAGATTGTTCGCCTGGTACCTTGCTCTCGCGTCAGATATGTTGATTATACTTCACTGAGGTGTCGTTTCAAATCTGAACGTAACATAATATCGTGTTCGTTCCCCGGTATCCTGCTGTAAACAACTTTCCAGTTATTTCAAGCTTACCGTTGGATATCCTAGAGGATAGTTCTCACTGAATAGAGACATAAGGTCAAGGATAAGAACGATAGATGAACATAGATCGGATAGATCTAAGGTGTGTAAGTCGTCCAAGACCATTCACGATTTTAGTTTTTGTATTTTGCAATTAAGTGTCCTAAGTAAATTGGACAGTTTTGGGCTTGCGCATTGCAATTTGACTGGCTAAGAAAGTTTGCGCCATCTTTTAAAACCGATACTAACTTAATGTTATATTGCCTCTCGTCAACAGGTAGACTTTTCTGTTCTCCAGAGGCGCAGAGAGTACAATGCACTTGCATGCATCCCAGTGACACCCGCGCGAAAGGGGCGCCCGGGAACAAGCCAGTGGCTTAGTTTCTTGCACAAGATTTCCTTCGCTTGATCTCTTTCCTTAGGGAACCATTGGGACAATGCGCAAATATTGTCGATTATATTACTGATCAAATATGGCCAAGCCGAAAATCGGCTCCTGGAAGCTTGACCGTGTTGGTTGGAAAAAGGGAATTCGTTATTCCTGGCTTGAGCTATTGTCGTTCATCGCTCTTTTGGAAAAGACTAAGAAGACTATTGAAAAGAGAGAGTAACCTTCATTATACACGGCGTATAAGGTTACGTTATAAACTTCTAAGGCTATATATTTTATGGAGGGGTCCCAGAGAGAAAAGGCGCATTGATTTTTGTTACCTGCTGTAACTCGCCACTCTGTTAAAAGTTTAATATAACTGATAGTTTGCTAAAGGATACGGTAAATACACTTGAACTTTGAACCGCCCACCTGGAAATAACATACAGTTGCAGTAATATTTACAGGAAGCAAGTTTATATTTATATGCTGCCTACCAATGAAAGGTTGACAGTAACTCTACTAGAAACATCAAAGTATGATGAATCCTTAGAGTTATAATTATATAATCATTTGACTTAGAGCACGCTCCCGGTGAACCTAATGATTCAAACTATTGGCCATTTCCGAGTTCCCCTGGCCTCTGTTTCAAAACGAGGGTAGGTGCTCAGCCTTTGATATGGAAATCATTTTTCATTCTCATGCAAATAAAACTCATTTTCACAAGAAAGGTTGTGCACCTAGCCTCATTTTGAAAGTGAGGGTTTTGGAACTCGGAAGTGGCCTATTGGTTGAGTAACGATCACTAACTCATGCACTACAAGACAACCCTTCAAAGAGTCATATTGTTGTGTTAGATGGATAAATACTTTGCCCTGAGTAATACAGAGGAAAGCATGGGGAAGATAAAAAGCATGGATCAATCCCCTGACATTGTGCTTTATCAAGATACAAGTACCTTTGTATGGAGAGTCGTCAGGCCCCGGTACGATAGCTTCCCAAACCTGAAGGCTGTCAGAAGGAATGCTCACTTCAATGCCATGAGGTTTAAGGGACTTCAGCTGTTTTAGCTCTTTCTGCACTCTATGGCAAATAGAAAAGAAAATAGAACCTTACCTTGGAGTGGACATTAGTTGGTGCGTTAGTGCTATTTTGTAGGATATGAATGAAACGAATGGTCAGACAGAAGGACGGACCAATGCATCACTGATAACAGGGACTTTAAAAAGTCCCTTTTTTAAACTGAGATCCGAGGACTTCGAAGGCAGCGAAACGTCGATTAAAAAGGAATTTGCATTCTTTCAATCTTCATCGCGATTATTCCAGTGTACTCACTAAGTCAACTGCAAGCGAACTCTCCCGCAGTTGAATTTCTTAGAACTATCTTCATCATCAGAAACAGAGAGAAAATTTCGTCGTCGATTGTCTATGTTCCCCAGAATACGTGAAATTAGGCATTTTCACGTTGTAATCGCGCAGTGATGCTGAGTTGTTGTTTTGCGTTTTCAACCTACTGCTTTTTTATGACGTAATCGTTGCCGTCGCCGTAGTCTCATCGTCTGCATTCAAAAACTTATTAATAATTCATAAAGTAAAAACAAAAGAAATTAAGGACAGTAAGGTTAAATGAGTGTCTTTATATCTGATAAAGACACAGCAACACTTTACATCCAATTTTTTGAGACTAAAATAGCCCCAAATCTAAATATTAGTGCAAGAACGAGTTGATCTATATCAGAGATTTTGAAGCCGTTCAAAAACCTAGCAGTCGTGTATTATTAGGTGTAAAAAGTCTTTGCTTAGTCTCGAGTTTTAAAATCTGATAATACACTCCTGTTCGTTGTAGTAAACAGTACATAACCCGCCGGATAAGAATACTGAACTTTGCAGTCACTAATAAACACAGTCAGTGCCGAGCTTTTGGGAGCGGTCATTATAAAGATTAGGGAAGGGGATGTATGATAATAGGGAGGGGTTATGGATCTTTGAGAAGTGCTGAAGAGCTGGTGGGGTTTTGAATATCCACAGAGAAAAAAAGGAGTGCTTTCTAGGTATCAATAAACACTTTATTTATTCCAAGCACTGTGATGGCTTTATTGTGAGAGGGTTGTAGTCTCGCACGAGGAATCGTGGATGCGTGGTGGCCACCGGCTAGTCCTACAATCCTAAGAATAACCTTATTTTAAAAATCTGGTTAATCTGGTTAATATTCTTTATATTCTATCTCACTTTCCCTTGCACTTGCTATTCATCCAAATCATTCAGGACCAGGTCCCCTTCTCAGTTCGACCTCCAATCATCATCATCATAAGCATCACCATGATCATCATCTTCACAATGGTTATCATCATCTTCATTGCGATTATCATCGTCATCCTTGTCTGATTCATTCACGCATTCTCTTGTCGCTGCTTGTTTGCAGCAGGAACAAGAGGACAGCGTTTGTTTACTTTATTGTTTTAATGCTTTCTTTCCGGTAAGAAGATTGTGTTTGTCCAGAGATTTGTTTAGTTCGAAAACTCGAATGATACTTTCAAATTGCTGATTTCTCCTCCCAGAAATAACTGTCACCGTTCATAGCTACTCCTCGAAGGGAGGGCCTGTTTGAATGGTTTCATTCTGTTCATTGTTCATGACAGTTAAATTCTAATGGCCAGTTGAAAGTGTTTCTGTTTAAAAGAGGGGTTATGAAATGTTTCAACTACTTCAAGGAGGGGTCGCAGAAAGTTACCGTCTGCTAAAGGCTTATAGAGACTTTTGCTTTTGGGGTTTAAAAAGTCATTCACCCCTCGGCCCCAGCCGCTCTTAATAATGACCGCTTCCATAGCAGGGTACTTTTGATTTCTCGGGAATATTGATATGCAGCTTCAAACTTTACAGAAAGGGTAGTAACTTAAATAAAACCTGAAATAAACGTTACCACACTTCATCAGGAGAAATGTAAGAGTCCTGAATTGTTCTTTTGTATTCAATTTGTTACTTTACCTCACTCCTTGATTTTGTGATAATGTGATTCCGTACGAGTCTGTAGTTCGGTGTGGTATATTATACCTATAATTCGCTTGTCAATCTAGCAACTGGTCTGTTAATGATACTTCTTTATGCTGAAAGCTAAGGCTCGCGAGGACAGCCTTGCGTGAGTGAGTGACTCACGCTCCACTTCCGTTCGTGTCACGCTCTTCTCTCTTGTGAACTCCAAAACCTCCCGCTAAATTCTGCTACAATTAGCTTCATTTCAAAGACCTCCCAAATTTCTCATTCCCACGCTTAGTAAAACATCATCTACTGGTTAGACAATTTAAAAATTGACCATGTTCGTTTTTTTCTCCATATTGTATAGTGTGCCCGGGGGTTAATTCTTAGTGGGGATGTGCCGCCCAGTTCTCAGAATCCTGACCCTGTTTGACCACCCGTTTTCAGACCTGGCTTCTAAAATTCATGCCTGTTTTCAGACGTGGAGGTGGTCACAAAACGCACGATACATGTTTACATAGACAGAAATTATGTGATCATTGCTGAGATTCGGAACAAAAAAAGAAAGATTTCAATCTATTTCGAATTGGCATATTACACTTTCTTTCTTATTCATTTGGAATTGAAACGACAAACACATCCATGCACTTAACCGTAGTTCCCTCGAAAACCACACCCGATTTCAGACCAAAATGGGCAAAATATATACCAGTAATCAGACCAAAACGGGGCAAAAACCATACCCTTTGGGGCGGCACATACCAATATGGCTTATATAACGGAGTTTCCCCGCGCCGATAGCTTGTATGTTATTTACTTACCGTACTTATTTTGTATTTTTTTTCTTTGCTATTGTTACCTGTCACCACTGTGTAGGCGCTAGCACGAAAAGGTATATTAATTTCGCTTCTATACTAGACATCCTTGTTATCATAATGCATAATTCTATATAACAATTTCATCCTTCTTTTCATTAGCTATCGAAAAAATGTAAAATTCTCTATTTGGATGTAACAAATAAAGGTTGTTGTTGTTGTTGTTGCTTGTTGAAGACACGTAGGTTGCCTAAATATCAGTACAAGTTTGTTCGCATAAAGAAATAATCCATAAGTTTAATAGTGGTAAACTAGCGAATAATCAGAACGGGACTTCAGCCCCCTGACAAGTACTGAGTCTGGTTGGGGCTAATTTCCTTACCTTGAAAGGAATTCCCTTTGTAGACTCATTGCATCTGCAAGAATTTACCCAAAAAATATCGATTGAGTAGTCAAAGCTTTTACTCCTTAAAGCGAATCGACCCACACAAAGGAAGAGATCTTGACTAACCGGGAAAACCCCTAAACAGCGTAGGGAAATTCCCAAGTCATTTTCGCTTTTCGTTTGTACCTTTCAATTATGCGAAAAAGACGCCGGAGCTTTAAACGAATTCACAAAACATGGGTAAACTCTTTTTGAACGATACCGAGAAGGCCAAAAAGACAGATTTCCGACATAATCAAACTCTCAAATCTTCGATTCGCAGAGAACTGACGGAAGAAGACTACAGTTTGACAGTAATACCCGGAAATTCACAAGGGAAAAATCCCTTTTCAATTTCCTTCTTTAGTTATCATGACGGAGTGGTTTTTAAAATACTCCCTAGCGTGACGTGACCCCGCGGTATTACCGTATGTAAATATGACGCAGGTATACTCTGCTCTGTATATAAAAATATTTTAGAATTTCTTCCATTTTACAAAACATTTCGTTTCGTTTTAACAAGTAAAAATGTACTTGTTATGATCGTAACTAAAGGAAAAACAAAAGACACGCGCACCACGGATAATGATCAGGGGAATCCCCAGGTTCTCCGATCCATCTGCTGTTTCGAGAACACAAGCCTTCAGACTGAGCCATAAGCAATTTTTTTAAATAAAATAATATGCGCCTGGTAATGATTTGAGGAGAAAAGCTGTGTTTCAGTGTTAGAGGAATTCTTAAGCTAACCAGAAATCTACACAATTAGAGAGTTTGGTCTTATAACCTGAAGTTCAAGTGACAAAATATGGGTATTTTCCCTTCAAATGACATGATTGCGATCAAGAAACCAAGTACTCTCAGCAGTGTTCGCAGTTCGGCGGAAGTAATTGTTCCGAGCGGGTCGTGCAGTCCTCGATCAGGCTCATAATTCTCTGCAATCTAGTAATCTGCCAGAAAAAAAGGTTGAATAGTCTTTTATTGCTTTTCCTCCGTAAGCTGTTGTCGGATAAAAAATATTCTCCTCTGATCATGGCCCCATCAACAATTCAAATCTTCGTGCATGGTGTGCAAGGAGGCGTAACCACTATCAACATTCACAAGGTAAACATTTCTTATAATTTTGCGAGAAAATGGATGGGACAAATCTCGCGATTTCTAAGATAAAACGTCGCAGCAATTTTCCAACAGGTCAGGACAGGTCTTCTGAGGATCGAGAACACAGCTTCTGTACTCGAAGGTAGAGGAAAAAATGGTCACCTTTGATTCGCTTAGTCCGTTTACCTCTGGATTCTTCAAGAGCATTTTGTCTTATTGCCTCACTGAGGCGAAAATTCCGCCGAGTCCACGTGTACACAAAGGAAACCACTAAAATTAAAATAGGAAGTATACCAGAAAACTTGATCGATTTGCTTAAACATTTTTTCGCACGGAATCGTTGGGTAAAGATGAAGTAATTTGAGTATCAGGCTTTTCTGGGGGGAAAAGGGGAAGAGAAAAGGGCTGATACTCAAGCAAAAATGAAATGAGTGATGACGTAAAACAGGAAATGCGCGAAGACTTGACAACCAAGCGAGAGAGTAACAGTAATCCAGGGGTTGAACAGTATTATGGGAAACCGCGTAGGCTGATTTTGTGATAGTCGGTCCTTCTCACGTACAGTGATCTTCGAGTTATTCGCCGGGTTGCATGCGGTAGTGTACGTACGATCATTGACATTCTGTGGAGTAGCTACTTTGAGGGTGTCACTCTCAAGTGGTTTAAGGCCTGGGTCTAGCAAATGATTATTGGCTATAACTTCGGCATAATGGATGGAGTTGAATTAAATTTGGCACACACAATAAACTCATCGTCCTTAACATTTTAAAGTGTATAAATATTGTGTTAAGACACCTAATATGTCATGTGACCCATTTTCTGACTACTTAAATAACTGACAAATTGGTGACGAAGAAATCAAGCATAACATTTTCTCATTTATCACGGTAAAAGTGTCCCGGTAACCGCAACGTATCCTTTATCAGAAACGCTAATTTATCTATCCACCAATAAGGCTGCATTATTTCCTTTATATATTTTAAGTTTTTCGTCAAGTGCACATCACGTGACCATAATTAACCGTTAAGGCACAATAAGATCTCAAATTAATCTTTTACGTTGAGATCTTAGCGAGAGACATTGCCAGTCAATAATATTCTCCGAACACACTTTTGACCCAGTCAACCGGGCCTTTATTAAACCCCTTAAGTCGAAAATTATTACTTTATTTTTTTTGTCTCACCGTACTCTCTTATGGCAAATTAAAATAAGCATCATGAACTTTCTGGCCTTAAGACAAAGAAGAGAAAATATCGTATTCATAGTTCAAGACTAAAGCTCAAGTCCCTCCAGGCTGAGGATTGTCTTAACCCATTCGCCCCTGAACCGCCCGTAACCGCCCGTGCGGATCCAGGTCCTTTCTACCCTTTGTGACGTCATCAGTTTTAACGGTCAAGGACAACTTTCTTCGCTAACTTGTGCAGAGTGAAGAGATCTTTCAAACCATACCGGAATGAGCACAATTCAGTCAAGGACACCGGAGAAAGAAGCAAAAAACCACGTGACATCGACCTGAAAATCACCATGAAAATCTTGTTCCATTACCCACCTACCTTTCCTTTCACCTAATCCTAAGATCCTAAAAGCTTTCCCAAAAACTCTTCCCACCAAAATGAAGCCTACTAAATGCCCAGCAAGAGAAAAAAAAATGAGGCAAGAAAAGCGAAAAAAGAAGGGAGCAGAAAAAGCGAAAAGTAAAAGTCAAGACTGCTGTGTCACTTTTAAACCCAAAAACTGTCGAAATTTTGCTTTCTGCGCATGCCCGAACTTCACAAGCTGATAGTTTGCATCTGGATCAGAAGGCCGCGAAGTGTACGACCTGTAAACTGGTTTGCGGTAAGTTTTAGCTCTTTATAGCACGACAGTGACCAGAAAAACACTCGACTAGCTTCAACACGCGTTTTTCGGCAAAATCTCCAGGAGCGAATGGGTTAATTAATTGTCAATTTTTGATCAAAACTAAAATTCCTAAGTTGTGAGTTTTTAGTCTTGACCTCTTAAAATGAACTGGTGTCGTGAAACACTTGCATTTAAGGAAAAGATAACTACCTCTAGTGAAATCGGACAAGCGGTTAACTCATTTGCTAGGTATGCCCGGCGGAGGGGAGATCAGGCTGGAGGGGGATCGGAGGAGGGGGGTTCAGTGGAGGGGGATCAGTGGTGGGCTAAAAAAATGGTCACGGACTCCACTTTAACATTTAAAGCTCATCTTTGTAGGATGCAACCGTGAAGGAATTTTTAACGATGGTGTCTGCAAAGACTGATGGCATACCAATCGATGTAATGCGAGCTGTCTACACCACAAAACAGCTGGAGATTGGCAAACGTCTTTCTGACTACGGAATGCAGAATGAGTCTAATGTGTTCTTGATACTTCGTCTACTGGGTGGCTCAAACCGATCAAGCATACCCCCTGTCAAAGAACTGGATGACGCAGTGGAATTGACGGATGCCCCGGATATGATTACGTGGGATGATGACCCAGAAAATAAAAGGGCCAAAATGCCTTGCGGGCACGCTATAAGTAAGTGGCTAATCAGAAGCACGCTTTGTTGATCCTTGTTCAATTCCACAAAGCTGGTATGCGTTCATGAAAGAGCTGATAGGCTAGAAAGAAAACCACGACATTACAGTTTCGTCATTTAGAGAGTTTAAAGCATTTGAGCGACCGGTTTGATGGTAGAGGAGTTGTTAAGTGGCTATTAAAATCTTTGGAACATGCTTGAGCCATCAGCAAACAACCTCCTCAACAGGGCTTTTCCCTTAAGTTCAGCAATTACTAGGGAGGAGGTGGAAAAAGAAGCGTAAAGAGGAGTTAGTTATTTTCATTAAAAAGGGCTTTGGCGAGTACACTGAGCACCAGAGACTTTTCAAGCCCCTTTTTCCATATTCAGTCAAGCCTTTCTCCGCTCGTGGCCTCGGCCTTCAGCCGAAGATGAGCCGGTCAGCCTGCGGGAACTGAAACATCCCACCGCACGCGAGAAAACCAGGTAACCAGGGTACCTCGCGAAAAGCCCTGGGGGCGAGGTTGTGGCAAAAGCGACCAGTAAAGCCCAGGGGCCTCACTCACATATTTTAATGACAGGGGGGTCCGACAGAGGTTCATATTTTATACCCAAAAAAATCCTAACTTCAGGATTTGTCTACCCAAAAAAATCCCTACTTTTTTTAGCATACCCAAAAAAATCCCTCAGTGTTTTTGCATCAGCAAATTTTATTATTTATCTTCTGGAAAGCTAAAACATGCCAACTTCAACTTTGGTTTTGGTTGTTTTCGCGACCCAAAAAAATCCCGGCGTCTTTCATAGACCCAAAAAAATCCCTTTTGGCCAAAATGTCAGACCCAAAAAAATCCTTCGGACCCCCCCGTCATTAAAATATGTGAGTGGGGCCCCTGGGCAGTAAAGGGGGTTCAAAGAAGGGAAACAAGCAGTTTTATCGCCGGGAGAGCAGAGCAAAAATGTTGTGAAAGAGAAGAAATGTAAACTGTCCCCTTTCTCATCATACACACTGCAATAATTCAATGCATTGCTAGAACAATATAGCGATTAAAGATGAAAGGATAATCTTGGGAAGGGAGCCTGGGTAAGTAGGACCCCCTTCCTTCCCTTCTAAGCAGACAGTTGAACTGTTAAAAGAAAATGATCAAGACTATTCCGTTTGTTTTTAGTTGATCATCTCTGTGAAATTTCACCATATTTTTGTCATTATTGTATCCCTGCAGCTCCTGAATCCCTGACTATGTATTGCCGCAGCCTCTTAGATGCAGGTCGGTCGCGCTTTTTTTGTCCCTACATCAGCCAGGACCAGCCGCCGGTCTATTGTGGTGTTGAATGGGACTACATAGATGTCAGACGCTTGGCCGTTTTGACAGATGCTGAAATTGGGGAGTTTGAGAAGAAGATTTCTAAGAATTACTTGATCAAGGCAATGGGCATTCAGGAATGTCCTAAATGCAACTCAATGGTGGAACGAAGCAACAAAAAACACATCAGAGTAGTTTGTCCGCTATGCAGCAAAGATAAGAAGAAGTCTTACGATTTCTGCTGGCATTGTTTACATGAATGGTCCAGTGACTCCAGTACTACTAAGTGTGGTAGGTTCGCCATGAGTTATCAAATAATCTACTCCTTGTTCGTGTAAAAAGTTAAGTGGAAAAGGGGTGAAGAGTTGAGTTTCTAAATACAGTGGAAACTCTATTCAGTTGACACCCTCGGGATCAAGGCAAGCGTCCCCAGAATTTTTTTTTTTTATAATTACTGATCCAACAAATAATTTTTTTTTTCTCCTATTCTACCTCGGAATCTGCTGCAGTCATAATCTCAAGCAGCTAGATAATGTATAAAAAAATCAAGCTTAAATCTCTGCAATGATGTGTGTTGAATTCCCACAAGTACAGTGCATCGATGTTTTGAAAGTTGTCGCCATTGTGACCAGTGTACACTTAAACTTGTCAACAAGTGGTCAGTCACTCTTTGATTGCTAAGGTGGCCCCTGGATGGAGGTTAAATGTGGGTTATGGGACCCAGAAAAAGTGTCCCTTTCCCCTGAATAGAGGTGTCCCTTTAATAGAGGTAACCAATACAAGATTACGTGAACAGTTTTCGGGGACCAAATTTGGTGTTTTCCGAATGGAGATGTCCTTTGAATAGGGGTGTCGATAAGGAGAGGTCCTACCGTTTATTAAATAAATTTGCTTCAAGGTTCGGTCCATTCAAAATATACTGCCTCACAAGCTATACTGACATTTCTCAGTTTACAAAAAAACTGATCTTTTTACTTCTCTTTCAAGGAAACGAGGATTGTTCAGGCGAAGACAAACGCCTCAGGATTCTGCGTAACTGTCAGAGGAAGACCATCGTGGGAGTTGTGGGTTGCCCCTCTCTCCGCGCATGCCTATCTTGCGGCATGCTCATTGAGCACGTGCGAGCTTGTAAGCACATGCGCTGTCGATGTGGCAAAGAATTCTGTTTTATTTGTCTGAAGCCAAAAGAAGGTACCTCTTGGTCGTGTGGCAGGTACAACGAAGCATGCACCGTGGCACCAGTGCAGACCAAGATCCCTGGAGAGGATAATTAAGGTCAACAATCTCAGATGTTCAGTTTCAGGCCGCAAAGCTGAAAACCATCACCTTTACATTACTTGATGCGAACTCTAGAGGCCTTTTTGAGACTGAAAATTCGTGTTGTCATTAATTGACTGAAGATAGTCACGTTTTAGCATAGAGGTATAATATAGATATATACGGATTGTTCGTGAAGTGCATATATCGCGTGCGAAAGAATAGTCCGGCCAGCCGATCATTTAGTGTAAATAGCAATTGCACTGTTGTTTTATGACTTTAATGGCATTGGTTTACTTAGGGTTGATAGATTGTTTTAGATTTTTAAAAGGAAGCTTGTCCAAGTTGTCACCATTGTCTATCTTCGTTTTTGCTGTTGTTGTTCTTTTCAGTTGTAAGTCATATGTAAAGATAAAGGAAATTTCAATTAAAATTTACAGCAGGTTTCCAAGAGATTAGTGATCTGATTACCTCAACAGCACTTAGTGAAAATCTTCGTCTTTCCAAATGTCTCTTTTTAATGCTTTTATTTTCAACAAACCTCATAATCAAGAGGGAAACACTAACACTACTTTCCCCGGATACCCAGGGGAAGCTATTTTCAGGGCGAAAACAACCACCCCTCCATCCTAGAGTCTTTCTTTCCCGAGATTCGGAAAGACCGCTCCCTGGGTACCAGGGGTACTAGGCTGATTTAGCAGCAGGACGGGAACGTCAGTTGACGACGGGAAAGCGCGCGGAAAGGACTAAACACGACTTCCGGTGCTCAATTTGCCGCTCTGCCATTGGTCAAGCCAGTTGTTTGATTTGCGCGCGCCGTCGTCAACTGACGTTCCCGTTCTGTTGCTAAATCAGCCTATTTTCTCTTGTGCGACGGGGAGCTTCGTTTCGTCGTCCGAAGGCCGAAGACACGAGCTGCGAGGCCGCGCGGGTCACTTTTTAAGACTTGACCGAAACCGGAAACCGCGCATGAAAAGCCTCTGGCACCCAGGGTAGAAAAACCGTTATTTGTTACCAAAAATAAGAAATCTTTCATTCTGACGTAAATAAGTGAAACAAAGTTTCCATGAGTCTCTCACGCCCCTTGTTCCCCGAAGAAGAAGAAGGGATCTAGAACCCACTACATTGGAAACTTTCAAAAACAAAAGATTGGTAGTGGGATAAGCTAGTTAAAACTGTCGGGATCGATGCTTTGCTCGAAATGACGGGATTGAAGAACCGTAATGAAAATCCTCGAATCGATGCTGAGCGACGTTTTTACAGACATGTGACCGACCGATCATCTGGACTAGCCTCATACCAGGCCTCATACGAAGTGCTCCCTGGGAACCCCTTTCGGGTCTTTACAGATCCGTTCTTTCCTTCGTCACGAGAAGGATACTGAGCGGAGACTAGCGCTTAGCCCGAAAAAAAAGAGGAGGAAAGAAACTTCTTTAAAAAGTATCAGGGTTTCTGTTCCCTTCCCTCCATTTTCTTAATTCTTAATTCCCTGGTCGCCATGGAAATTACCATGGAAATGCCTCCATTCACTTCCTCGTACCCATTTCCTCCGCCTGCCCAGCTATTACCATAATTGGATAGCGGTACACCCTTGCCAATCTCTTTCCTCGTCGACAGCGCGATCGTGAAGTTGTTGTGCTTTTCTGGCAACGTTTCGTTCTTAGACGTTCCAGGAGCATTTGTTATCCATAAAGAGGTTTAAAGTGGTGTTACTGTCGTTTGAAACAAGCCCGCTGGTACAGTAATACACTACACAGCAGCCCGGGCAGTCTCTCCAGTGCTGAGATCAAAAAAGATGGCGGTGACTTGGTGAGGTGCATGACTGCTAATTTTTTAGACACAGCAGAAAGCAAAGCAATATACTGTGGCGGCAGTGAAAACGCAGATAAACATTAGGTTTGTACGGAGGGGAATACTGGACAAATGTCCGAGCACTTAAGCCTTTTTATGGCTAAACTTCAGAAGACCTGACCACTTATTTGGATTTCATTGAATAACAAAAGAAACTATGTGGTCGGGTATTCTGGAGTTGCAAAAAGTTGAACCTCCATGAAGCCGGCCACCCTCTATAAGCGTCCACAGTAATCACGTAGTAAGCAGTAGTTTGCATTTATTGTAAATTAAACCTTTATTAAACGGCCGTGGCCACATTTTGCCAACCCAACGAGAGTTCTTCCATTGCTGTCACCTCCATTACTCTAAGTGGCATAAGGGAAAGTACAGTCCAAGATGGAAGATGACAACTGATTGTGGAGCAGTAAATGCCCGCTCCAGTCACTTGTTTGTACTCCAGTAACCCGAGGGTCGCCCCATAATGGAGGTTCAATTGTAAGTTCTACTTCCTGTTACAGACCAGTCAATATTTTTCCCCAGTTTATGTTTGGAAATGGTTATCTGCAAAACAGATTCTTTAGAGCATCTTCAATGACTCTTTGATGTGCCACTGTTTCTGAGCACATTGATTAATTATCATCAAATTCATTTGTTTTTCTTCTTAGAGACGCTTTAACTATGGAACTTCATTAGCCATGTCAAAACCGGTATTAGGCAATAAAGCTAGTAGTTCAAAAATCAACAATGGCGACCCTCCTGAGCTTAGAATTAACTGTTTATCCATGCGTGATGTCAAGGCAAAAACAAAGGACCCAAAAGATGCAAATTTGCCTGTTGATGTGTTATTATTGACAGTCAAGAACTGTGAGTTCTTAGCTTGTTACAATGAGCTACAGGATCCATACAAGTGCTGGTTCGATGGTCTTGGTTATGTTTACTTTTCGCATGTAGATCAGAGTCAAGAGGAGAAAGTGAAAGTCGCATTACTGCGTTGCTATAAAAATGGCATTGGTCCCGGTGGGTCTCTGATATCTGTGAAGAATGCGGCTTCCAAACTAAGACCCAAGGCGGTTATTTCTGTTGGAGCATGCACTGGCCTTAACCCTAACAAAACCAAGTTAGGAGATGTTATTGTTTCAGCAAAATTAACAACATATCAAGGGCAGTCAACTGGGTTGAGAAGTTGTGTGAGCAGACGTTTTCTTGATATCATCAAATATTCCAGTTGTGGATGGGAGGCACCTCTGAAGGACCCAGCAGCACAAGAGATCCAAGTACATTGTGATGGTGAGTTTTTAAGTGGCCCAGAGGAGGTCAGTGCTGAATGGAGACGTCAACAACTTGCTGAACTGCATCCTGATGCAGTGGCTGTTGAAACGGAAGGAGAAGGTGAGTTGATGTTGTTTCCCTTGGTGATTTTTCTCCATTCCTCCTCTCTTTTTATATTTCTTACTGTTATTTATTTTCAGTAGTATCAAAGCCTTTAATTTTGAAATTACACTTTTGAATGTTTTTTGGAGTAAAAGGGTACGGATTTTCCAGGTTTTGGGGCTATTGTTCACTTTTCACACTTTGCAACAAAGGCTTCATATTCTCGGTGCAGCAAGATTATTCTGCTTTCTGTTCAATCAAAACAATCAATCAAATGGTATCTAGGCAAAGGTAAAAACCCCCTTGCTAAACAACATAACAGAAGACACGATGATTTGTGGTCACAACAGGACTTGATGACATCAGGGAAATTATTTTTCAACCACTTATTTGTAATTTAATATTTGTTTTTTCTTTCTTTCTTAAACATGAGTGTTGTCACTTGTGATTATCAAATAATTAAAATTTCTTTGAACAAGTAATGATTTGTCTGGTCAGTACCCAGTCTGACTGGACATTGTCCATTGACCAGCCGTTATTTGAAGCCCTGACTTTAAAAGCTTGAGCATTTACAACATTGGCCTTAACCAAATATATTGAAAAAAGGATACCACACCTGTATTATATAAAGATGAAAATTTGTTCTGATCTATGTTTCATTGTCATGGGAGTTGCCATGACAACACAATGACACCATTGTATTTTTTACTTGCCTTTGTATTTCTCGGCACCAGGAGTTTTTTTCATGAAACAAAGTTTTAAGGGTCATAAAAACAGTCAATAAACGTAATATGAACATAATTAGCTAATATCTTAAATTATCAAAAGTCTGGAAATGCATGTTGATCTCATAGTGGTTTGATTCCATTTGAAACTGTGTATGAAAAAAGATGGGGATTGCTTCAGGCAATAATTGGCCATTTATTGAGAGAAAGAAGAATTTGATTAGTGTGCGTTGGATTGCTTTCTTTAACATTTTTGTATGCAATTTGTTCCACGCCTACAAATTTCATGGTAATTTAAAAACTGCGTGATAAAGGTTTTAAAAACTTGACAATCCCAAGAATAATTATCATAATAAATTTTCATCTTTATAAACTACACTGCGGTAACCTTTTTCCAATATCTTTGTTAATGCTGACGTAGTAAACATTCAAAGTGTGAAAGTATACTCCCTAAAAATTCACTGGAGCCACCTTAAGTGCCTTATGGCAGTTTGACTACCATACGGTTGATTGCTGCGTGGGACAACTAACCTTATCATACATACTTTCCAAATATGTGTTTTAGGTATCTTCACAGCTGCATTTGACACCCAGATTGAATGGCTCATTGTGAAAGGAATAGCTGATTATGCAGATTGTGCTCAGTTGACATCAGAGGGTTGGGCATCCTGTGCCAGTGTGACGGCTGCCTCTCTTGTCACCCACATTTTGAGTGATCCTGTTGTTTTTCGTTCATGGCCTCATTATCAAGGTAGTTTTAGTCAGGAAGTTCTTTCCTTCTTATTTTATCATGGCTTGTTATCATTTTGCTCTCTGTACCAGAATGTTGATTTTGTTGTGCTAAAGGATTTCTGGTTGTTAAATGAACGATAGATAATGATATTGTGGGAGGTAGGGGTTGTGGCCTAGGGGTTAGAGTACTGGACTCCAGATCAAAAGGTCCAGGTTCAAGCCCTGGCCAGGTATTGTGTTCTTGAACAAGACACTTAAACTCTCACTGTGCCTCACTCCACCCAGGTCTATAAATGGGTGCCAGCAAAGTCAGGACTATTAGGGACTATCATCACATGGGGGGAGTCAAGTCAATTTTTTTCCTTTTCATGTTTCGTATTGTAATTTTAATAGTGCGGTGGTCATGTTACTGTTGTTATAGTGTAGTGTAATTAATGTGTTGTAAAATGTTTGTGGAGTCATTTATTATAACTAAAAACAAATTCCATATAAGGCAGAGAAGAAATATCTCTAGTTGCCTTGGAAACTGGGGTAAGCTCTGGCCTGAAGGGATGAAGGACCATCAATGGCTCGTAAAGTGTATGCAGACTTGAGATGGAATAAAGTATTTAAGTTGCTCATTTGCTGACATGGGAAGATTAATTAAATCCACTTAGCAGCAAATATAAGCCAAAGAGTCCTTTTAATATTTGCAGTAAATTTATGTCTGTCAGATTGCTGGATGCACATTAGAGTGATTGAGCATTTAATACCATCTACCTATCAAATAATTAATACCGTTTTTGCTTGTGATTTGTTTAGACTTGTCGGAGTTGGATTCAGCCAGCAACTCAAAGAAACCAAGACTTTCCTCTGAAGGTGCATAGATCAGTACTACGCCTTTCCCAGAGTGCAGGAGTTAGGGAGTTAGGGAGTGTGACTATTATAACTACCGAAACAGGTAGACCGTGACTTCAGAGATACAGTCATAACAGTTGATTCTGTTGCTAACGACTTAATAATGGTGTGAAAGGTTTGAACCCAGGAGTCATTTCAAATGAATGACTTTAGAATGATGATGTGAACTGTGGAAATACAATTATAAATGAAGATATGATCGTCATCATAAGCGCTGTAGTGCTCTAACCAACTGAACTATGTACATGTAGACCCACATAACGCAGAGGCCATGGGTTTGAATCCCGTTGAAGTCCTGAAATTTTTTTTCAGGTTAATGTGCAATTGCTTGAATTGCAATCACCACTGTGATGATCATATCTTCATTTAAATTCGCTAATGACTTTGTTTGCCAAACCAAAATGGTAAACTCATGTTGTCACTTTCCTGAGCATTTGGTAGGTCAAAGATAGGCCAAGTGGAATAATGGTGTTCTCTGTCAACCAAAATAGAAACATTTTCGTTTGCAGAAAGTCAATCGATAAAAGTTCTTTCGGTTGCAGTCTTCTAGCACTATATATAAACTCTGACCACTCTGATGAGCAAACAAGCCAGCAATGAGAAAAGAGTGTGACCAACGTGAGTTCACATTTGGTTTGACAACAAAGCCACGTGACCTTAGTCGTTAGCGTTTGGCGCCAAAATCAACAATTCACGGTCTACTTGTCCCGGTAGTAAAGTCAAGCTATTTATTTTTTGTCCTTTGTCCTTATGTGCTGGTGAGATAAATTATATGGTTTAATCAACTCTTAATCGTTTGCAATCATTTATGGCGATTTGCCCCTATTTTGTAAGACTCTGTTGAATCTCCTATCTGGCCAAAACCTCTTGAGAGTCACTAGCTGTGGCTTTGTCATTTTGCAAATTTGTTAGTACTGCAATGACTTCTTACCTAAAGTAAGTAAATTATTTGCCAATGTAGAAATAGGTTGAACTGAAAACTTGTACTTTTTAAAGCAGATTTCGCTGATGCATTTTTGAAGTGGAGTCAAAATCAACTGTGCTCGCTTTACAATGGCACCCTTGGTCAGGTGATGATTACTCCATGGAACCCAGACAACACTATGGACATGGATGAGGTGTACGTACAGCTAACACTGCTGAGAGATGAAAGAAAACTTGATGGGACAACTAAAACGGAGTTTGAAGATTACAGTGAGATATTTTCGAGCCACGGACATCATCTCATTCCTAAAAGAATTCTAGTGTACGGAAAGCCGGGCGTAGGGAAGTCCACATTTTCAAAGAAGCTTGCTGTGGACTGGGCAAGAGGCGAGAAAGAAATTCTGAAGCAATTTACAGTGTTACTTTTAATCAAGCTACGAGATGTTTGCAACACTCCAAGTGTCTGTGCCATGCTCGAACAGGCAGAGCTGTTGTCTGCTGAAAACCCACTGGTTTTTAAGCAGCTCTACGATTATATTCTTCAAAATCAGGAGAAAGTGTTGCTTATTTTGGATGGCTTTGACGAATACAGTGCTGATAAATCGTCGCCAATTCATCATATTTGGAGAGGCAGTTTGCTGAGAGATTGCATGACCATTGTAACTACAAGGCCATCAAAAGAAGACGAGCTACGAACACCAAGTCATGTTCGGTTCGAGATCAGTGGGTTTACTAATGACCAAATTAAACAGTTTGCTGAGAAGTTCTTTTCTCACAGAAAAGACATTACAGATGAATTTACCAAATTCTTAACTGAACGCAACTTGTGGGGTATGGCAAAGATACCGCTTCTTTTGTTGATGCTTTGCCTTACTTGGAACGAGAGAGGTCCTAGTCATCAAGAACAGTCACAATCTCGCGCAGATCTTTACGAAAGATTTTTTCAGACTCTGCTAGATCATGTTGCAGCCAAAACGTCAGGTCGTAGCTTTACAAGTCTTGATGAATACAAAGATGACCTCACGAAACTGGGTAAAGTTGCATTTGATGCACTTTTAATAGATTGCCTTTATTTTGAGCTCAGCAAAGTGCCCGCAGACATTCGTTGTCTTGTCAAGAAATTTCTTTCTGTGGGTTTTTTCCAAGTTTCCAAGCTTTCTAGTTCATCTCGTCCTGATGAAATCGTACACTTTTTGCATAAAAGTGTACAAGAGTTTCTTTCTGCTTGGTTTGTAGTTAGAGAAGTCACAAAAACAAAGACGGCATCTCTCACCTGTCTGTCACACGTCGATTCGTTTGAAAAGGTCCAGAAGATACACGAAGTACTGAAATTTGTCTGTGAGATTTCATCAGAATCTGCGGTGGCTGTTTTTCGTCATCTACAGATGATAGGAGAGAAAGAAGGCCTTACGGAGTACAGCTTTTCTGACAGCCCTTTCGCTGAAGATTTACCTCAAGTACAAAAAAGATTTCATGAAATTAGCCTGGACTGCTTCCTGTCCTGTCCAGCCCCAGAAAGGCAAGCTATCTATCCTTCATTTCTTAACTGCGTAAACAGAGTTGTTATTATAAATTGTATAGACCAGCTGCCAATTGTGGTCAGAGAACATGTCCTGAAGTTGTTTGCCTCACCCAAACCGGATTATGTATTTTTAAATTACTGGTTTTGCATTGAAGACACGGTTAAAACTGGGTTCTCTATTATGTGCGATTTGCAGCCTGTTTTGGTCACCTGTTTTGGCGACTCTAGGCTTGTGAATACGTACGCAGAATTGGATTTTCATTGTGCTTTTGTGAAGAAAGAAGGGCAGCAAATGGTTCTGTACATAACACGCATAAGAAAGCGATTTGACGATCAGTTGCGTTTAGGTTTGCTGACAGACATCGTATCACCACCGCAGTCTCCTTCTCCGCAGAGTGTTGATGAAGTGCCTCAGGATCAAGAAACAAGTAATTCTCCTTGTTTGACTGAAAATCGCCTGAGCGGACTGAAAAACATTCTCTGTCACATCTCAGGGTTATTGAAGTTGATGAACCGACACCTGAAGAGTTAATTGTTCTGGGTGTGGTGTTGGCCCTTGTAAGTAGACTTGAAACCTTGGAACTTAAGCTTCATTCCAGGTATTTGGAAGATGGACTATACGATGTTCAGGTGATAGAAGAAATATTATCTCATATTTACAGCACTTTTTTCACGGACAATCTTCGTAGTCTAATGCTTGAGTTTTTTCAGATGACACAGGCATCTACCACTCGTATTGTAAGATCACTTTCCCAGGTTCCCAACTTGCGTGGCCTTAACTTGTCATGGAACTGTTTATCGTACATTGGTATGAAAGCTTTAATTGAGAACCTACATCATGTAAAACATTTAACCCGACTCGAGTTGTGTGGTGTCGAGATTGGACATCTCGAGTGTCAGTTACTTTCAACTTCATTGAAGTATATTGGCAATTTGGAAGTTCTTGATTTGTCGGCAAACCCGCTTGCTCATGGGATTCCCGAACTCTGCAAACACCTGAACTGCGTCCCTCATCTTAATGAGCTGCGCCTGTACCAAACAAGCATGGGTGAAGAGGAAGTCGCAGCTCTTGCGCATGCGTTAAAGTATGTTCCACAGCTGAGAACACTTGAGCTCTTTCATAATCCACTGGGTCGAGGAATAGGTGAGCTGACCAAACACCTTAAAAGTACTCCTCGACTGCGAGTCTTGAGACTGACATCTGTGCGGATGACGCGCAAGGAAGCCAAAGACCTATGCACTGAAGCGCTTCCAACCAGAATCTTCCTTGACACGGATTACCACGTAAGGGTTCTTGTTTACTTACAGTTTAATGTAGGATACAGTAAAACCCCGCGATTAAGAACCTGGATTTTAAGAACCTGTTAGGCTAACCTGAATTTGCCAGGCCAGTTAAGCCGTCAGCCCCGTCTATTTAGGGACCTGTTTAGCCTAAAATTTTAAACAGGTTCTTATTTTCTAAAATCTATGAAAAAATTCTTTACACTTGGGCAAATTAGATAAGTCAACATTCAGAATCCTCTTTGGAGACATAGGTGCCTTATCACTCCAACTGCAATATAATGGTATACTTATTTTATATGAGGAATACGCTTAACCAATAACTACTTTAAGCTGCTATATTGTATTGGTTTTCTTCAGAAAATAAGAACCCATTTAAGAGCCTAAATAGACTAACCTTGTGCTAACTACCTTTTATATAAGGACTTGTTTAGGCTAACTTGGAAAGATCCAGGTTCTTAGTCGCGGGGTTTTACTGTATAACATTCGGTACTAGGGCACAAAAAGATAAAATTAGGCTGGGACTGATCGCAATGGATAAGTGATTTAATTTACGAAGTTAAACATACGAGGATACATTTCACTTCTCCAAGGAGCTGTGTGTTACGTTTCAGTTTATTTTTTATTAACGACTGATTAGTCTACTATATATTGTCCGAACATAACAGAAAATTGTTTGAATAAGGTTCAAGGAACGTCTTATTTATCGGCAGCATCTTCCGAAGATAGATTACCGAAGACCTGCATAGTGTATCTTCAGACCGCAGAACTTTCCCAGATGTTTTGATTATAGATGCGCGGCTCTGCCTCGCTAAAAGTTTTAGTACTGTAAAAAGTGATCGTCTTCCCTCGTGTCAAGATATGATTTGCTCGAAAGAGTTGACGACAGCTTTTTTCATATAGGCTACTAAATATCGGAATCTACTTGTCCAGAGTTTCATTATTGTTGATTGATAGTTACGCCCCAGTTAGTCTAGGACCTCAATTTATCCTGCTCTGTATCTTATTTGTCTTAAGTCAATGCTGTGTTTTCTTTTTCTTGACAGTTCCGAATGGATTTTAATGAATGTCGACTCTGCACCGAGGACGAATTAAAAGAGAATGATATATCATACGAGCAGGAAGATTGAGAGCTGAAAGCGGTTTTATCAGTCACTTTCAAAAAAATGGAAGAAACCTGGGGAGACCTGACCTCTCACTGATGTTCATGGGAAATTGACTTAGTCCGATTCCACATAAGTCTCTGCAAGCGTGAAACGCTAACAAGCGTATGCGTTTACGGCTGGGCTGCCCACACCAAAACGATATTTATCTGTTTACGAACGTAAACACATTGAGACTGATTCACAGTTTTACATTGAGACTGCTTACGAACTGAAGGTACCCGTGTTCGTTTTCGTTTACGGTTGGAGGCTTCGAACGCACAAGTTGTACGCGTTTACAAACTTCAACGGACTCGTGTGAAAATGGCTTCATACCCATCAACACACACTGCCCTTTTTGTATGAACAGCGCATTTCTGTTCAATTATCTTTTAATGTTTTGCATTGTCTGATTCAAAAACAAAGGGAGATATCAGAGACTCCTGACTGCAGCTAAGTCAATCTGAAAATCAATAGGGGAGACTTTTTTCCAACGAGACAGCATTCCCGTTTTAGTGTCACGCACGGTGAAAACTCGGAAGTTCAAATTGCTGTATTTACGAAATGAAACATGATACGGGAATGGAAACTTGTAAAAAAATTTACTTTTTGTTTATCTTCAGCCTAATCTAAATAAGAATTCGTAAAACCTCGCTATTTTGACTTTACAATGTGATGACGTCACTGTGAAAACCATCTATAGCAGTACCATAGAAAAATCTGCTTCAGTAACACAAACTATAATTCTAATTATTATTATTATTATTACTTTTGTTATTTATGCACATTTTTTACTATCCGCATTTTTCCATCCGCATCCTGCATCCACAGGTACCCCGGCGGTCCGCGTTTTACAGACACCCTGCCTTGAGCCGGTTAAACACGCATCATGTACAGGTTTTGTTACAAAGAGTAGAACTAGTCTCTGCTTTCTGCACGATACCTTTTCGCAGCCTGAAACAACCTGATTTATGGCAAGACAGGTTTGATTCGTGGGCTGTAAAACGCGTAATGTCGCTATTCAACTTGTATTGCAGCAATGTTGTAAAACAAGTCGCGCGTTTTTGCTGCCCGTTTTACCGTACCCAAGAGGCAGAGAAAACGCGAGAAAAACCCACCCAAAGGATGGTAGCCTGAGCGCCAGTAATCTGACTAGGGCATCAGACACCCCTTTTCAGACTACCACAAAAGAAGGTGCGGGGAGAGCAACACACGAAATGACGGCAGAAGAGGTGATGAACTTAGAGTATAGAAAAAAACTAGGAAAAGAACCAAGAAAATACACGGGGACAAGGGAGTAAACTAGCAAAACCAGGGGCCTTTATATTTCATTTTAAACCATTTATACGGCAGAACGTTGCATCCAAAAAGGTCCTTAAGAAGTTTAAAAAAATACTCATGAAATTACCAGCCAGTGGCGTCCGAAATTGACGAAAACGGACAGTTTTGGCCGCTTCTGTAGCACAAGACAAGCGGCCGCCATTTTATAACATCAATGAAGTGGGGAAAGCTAACATGGAATGTGTTATGATACGTGGGTTATGATCAAGATGCAGACCAACGTGTTTCGCCAAGACTTGTTTATGGGAACACGACTCTATTGAAAACGATAAAGGAGTCACGGTTATGTGAGGCTGTGGACAATTTAAAGTGTAAGACGCCGCATTTGTGTTGTATCTCTTATGTTCGTCTGTTTTACACAATGCACTTTTTTCGAAACAACATTGGCCTGAAATGGCCTTACTGTGTGTTGCAAGCCTTTCTGCGCTTTGAGTTAAGAAGCGAAAGTTGGGGCGGAGCCGAAAACTAATCTTTAACAAAGATCAGCCACAACGCTTGGTACGCAAGCTCAGTAGAAACTAGACTACAAGTAGCTAGTCCGTTATTTCCTCAGGGATCGTAGAGCAAGCGAAATACGCGAACTAACCGTCGGGAATCCAAATAACTTTTGCATAACACCACAGGAAAAGATTACCAAAAACTTGATAACTAACGAAGAGAAAAACTGCAAGACAAGAAAGAATTGACGAAGAGATGTAACAATCCTAATGCATTACGATTGCACTGAGTAGTATAGAAGTTAAAAGGAAGACAAAAAATGCGTTAAAAATACGGCGCACAATAAAGTGCTTTGCCTGAATTTAAGAAGGCATCGCACGTCTGAGGCGCCAGACATGAAAGCTTTAAAAAGCGGAGCATTGGTTGGGCATTTGCGTTTAGGTTAGTTTTAAGATCCGCTTTTCGATGTTTTCTCCTAAAATGTCGCTGCGGGTGTTGGTGTTTCTTCTGGTTATTGGGTTTTCGGTTTTTATGGAAATCGAGATAATGAAAAGAAGGTTTTCAGTAACAAGTCAGAACATAAAAGAGCCGTAAGATCTACTATTTGAACTCTTTTAGAAGGTAAGCAGAGCGATGATGTGGAAATCTTTAATTTCAAAGTCTAAACTCAGTGTAAACTCGACTCGACTTACTAAGCTACGAGATCTACCTTAACCTAAACTACCCAACTTGTTTCCAGCGTGTTCACTCAACCCGCACCCTCCTTCCATTACTCAATACCAAAAATAAGAGCCACTCGCCATTCCATTTTTTAAATAGCCCCGTCCCCCTTTAGTTTGGCTATATTTTGCGCCTCAGTAAAAGCGGATTTTTTTCCCATATCCCTCAGAAAATTTCCAGATATCAATGGTGCCGAAGCAGCGACCCCCAAAGAAGTCAGAAATAATTGGGAAGTCCTCCTTGAGGTTGATATTGAATGGAATGGCCATAAAAAAACAACAGGCCAACGACTTGAATTACCGTGACCTCCGTCTCGCAGCGGCACTGTTACATCATCCCTAGTCTCTGAAATTTTCGGTAGAACCCGCACTATTGTGAATGATTTTCAGAATAAACCAGCTAGATAAGCCGCTTCTTTTGCCATTTCTTCCTCGCTCCTAAATCCTTTATTCGTCGCTGGACCCGTTTCACCCACGAAACTACTTTCCTGTTTGTTGTGTTCGTCGAGAGCTTTGTAAACATCATCATTATGTTCAAAATCTCCTTTTTTCCTGGGCAAAACGTGGACGTGGACATGCTCAACTGTCTGTCCTGCCTCGGGGCCATCCTGGATCGCAATCGAAAGAGAACTGGCGCCGTACACCTTCTCCAGGACACGTGCGATTTTTTGCGTACTCGTGAACAAGTCCGCCACTTCTTCCTCGGTTAGTTCACAAAATCTCTTAACAACGCGGAGAGGAGAAACAAGTACATGTCCTGGGAGGACAGGTTTTCTATTTACAAATCCAAAGGACAACTTAGAGCGGAAAAATACCACAGAAGGCTGGAGGAGAATTCGCCCAAAATTAAAACTCTGAGCAGCCATTTTGTATGCGCATGATGCGCATGGAAATGCCGCTAAATGCTACCGCTGTCTTGTAAATTTGCGGGCGACTTTCAGCTAAAACAACATGGCCGCCACCACAACACAAGATATCCGTGAAGAAAAGCGGAAAATGATTCCAAAAGGAAGACCTAAATCCGGAAGAGTGTGGAAGAGTGAAAAGAAAAGGTACTTATTGGGTTGATATGAGAGGTTCCCGTAATGAGGAGCGACTATATGTGTATTTTCTTTTAAAGTGCGAGAATCTTAGACAGTAGTGTCGGAGCTGCTGGACCGTCTAAGACCCCTCGTTTGATTGACGGTGAGCGCTATGAAATGCGCCTCTTGTTGAGCTGAGAAGAATTGTTATTCTATCATCAAACTAAGCTTTCGATGATCTGGCTTTTATTATAAATACACTGTTTACTGATTTGAGTCAGCATGTTTGGATATTCCATGCGTGTTTATGCATTTGCATTCAGGGTCTGTTTACATGAGGTGAGCTAGCCCAGTTGGCCAGGCTGGCCCGCTTTATTGTTCTGGATAAGTTCATGCTTTATTTCCTCTTACAAATGTTGTTATGTTTATATGAGAAGGCTCACTGGCTTGCTTGTTGCAATCCATGTTACGTGAGCTGAGATCTCAGCAAGGGAATCAGGCCTTCTCATATAAACACAACAACATTATTATGATGAAAAAAGGCATTAGCCGAGCTAGCCCAGGTAACTGGGCTGCCTCGTCTAATATAAACATACGGTGTTTTTACACATAACGCCACGGCAGTCATATTGGTGTCCCAAAACAATGAACTCATGGCCATGATTGGTGTCCCAAACCAGTCCTGTGGGAGTTAAACCCTTTCTTTTGTTCCAATAAATTTGCATCGATGCTGGCCACTTGAGTGAAAATGCTCTATAGGCCGTCAGACACCAGTTCCTACATGACATTTACTCAAATAAACGCAGTGGCACTTACGTGCATACCTTTCAAACAGAGGTTAGTTTTTTTCACTATATTGTAGTGGCATGTGAAAATTAATCTCTGCTAGCAATTTATTGTTGATCCGTTTTCCAGAGTGCCTGGATTGGCATGTACATGATTCATAACTTAGATTTTGCCAGTCCCTATATGTAGAATTAGCAGCTCAATAAAAATTACTTTTTGAGAATAGCGGAAACAAGTCCAAAGATTGACCCTTCTTAAGAGTCCTGTTGATATCCCTGGTTGTTCAAATAATGGATAGCGCTACCCACTGGATAAATTACATTCCAGCGGATAACTATTGGGGAGACCAATTTTAGATAACTGTTGTCAATGGGATAGTAACATGATTGAGTTCTTCAAAAAGCATTGACTGTTTGCTTTTGCTCGGTCGATTCCTGGCTTAAAGGCACTTCGGAGTTAGGGACAGGATTCAGCTTGGGTAGAAACAAGCTCTTGTTGTTGCCCTAACTCATGAATGGATCAAGAACGCAACACCAACTGCAGTCATAGACTACTCTGACTTGCAATCACAAGACACAGTCATAAGAGTCAATTATTTCGTAAATCAGTGTGCTTATATATATGATGGAAGCGATTATACATGATTAGATAAGGTGTTAGAAAAGGACATATGTGGTTTCCTTTCAGGTAAATACCCTAAGCGTAATACATTGTTACACCCTACTTAGTTATGCAAATCCTGTGTGGCTAGATCTGAGAAATCACCACATCCTACACATGATGCTGTCAGTAAAACGGGGTTATACTTTCTACACTATTCCAATCGGAAAGCACATTGACCTATTAGCTTTACACAAAGCACCTTTTTGCACGCTTGCCTACACAATAGGGATCATATTTCTGGTTCCTATCAAGATAATAATTTATTGATTTTTCCGCTCATTGCATAAAGTGTCACTTTTCTTTAACTTTACTATATTATGTTATCCACTGGATAGAGATTTATTCGGTGGTAAGCAATATCCACCTTTTGAAGAACTAGGGTCAGTTGTCCTAAAATCGCTTTTGTCACAAGAAAAGAAAAGTAAGCTCTGGGAGACAAAAATACTTCCAGAAACCAAGATAGGAATTATATCAAAATTGGAGGCTAAATTCCAGGCCATGGTACAGAAAAGCTCAAAAGCCACCTTTATCTGGGAGGTACAGTATGGTGATGTGTACAGGATAAAAAAGTCCTTAATTTTTGGAGTCTCGATGTATTTAGCATTGAAGTACTAATAAATTATTTTATAGGACATTATTTTTTAAGTTTTCCATTAGAGATAGGATTGAGATTTTACTTGGTCATCAAAGCCACATAAATGTTGCGTGCACCCATTTTCAGGGGGAAGACAGTACCTTCATTTCTCAGTTATTTTAAGACCCCTGAATATTGGTCTGTCCCTGGGAACCAAACCCACGACCTCCTGTTCTGCTGTCAAATGCTCTACCAACTGAGCTAATCCTGCTGTGGTTAAGTAGGAGATTTGTCTTCTATACAATGATTCCAAAATGTATTTTACAGTTAAAAGATGAAGTGCCATGCTACTTCAGTGATTGCATCAATATTAAATAAACAAATTTTCATTTATGACAGCATGTATAAATAATTATTAATTATTATTATGAATATTATTACAACTATTTCATCTTCAGTTCTATCCTCGGGCTGGTTTCATATGGTCACTACAATATATGTGTGTATTGTCTCATTGTCTCTATCTTATGGAAACCAACCTTTCACAAATTATAGTGTATAATCCGATGGGTGAATTTTATATATATATATATATAGACCAGTAGGTGAACTACTCAAATCCTGAGTACATGGGTGTTTAATACAAGCCTGTTTCGTAGGCCACCGAAAAGGTGACCCACTCTTCAGTTAAACTCCATTATAACACTGAAGCGTCAGGGTCTACATCAAGAAAAGTGATCGCGTGATAAAAACGGTTACATATAACGTTTGAAATTTAAATTTTAGAATGAAAAGCGCGCGCTCGCTCTCAATCGCCTACAACTCTTACACGAAACCTAAGTCGCACGAAAGCTCGCGCTACAATCTCTTGCTTTCACATGTTCGATTGTACCTTAGAATGAACTTGCGTCGATCTCTGCATGTAGAGACAAGTTCGTTGTGCTTGTTCAGTGTTGCCATGTGAGGCCTACAGATTAAAAAGAACTTCTCTGTTGTACATAGATTGCTTTGTTTTGTAAGGTTGGTGTAAGATTTTGCTTTGGCGAGTATTTTCCACGTGATATTGAATTCCTTATTTGCCTCCTTTAGCTGCCACAGGTGCTTGCTCAGCTCAGTCTCATTCCTTCTCTTTTCATGTATAAATGACATCAGGTGGTTTCTGTATCTTGCCTTGAACTGAGTAGCTGTGAGACCGATGTATGTCTCCTTTTTGTGTCCGGTTGTGACTGTGGCTTGGTACACTACTTCGCTCACCAGGCATTCTCCGTTCAGCGGGCAGTCTTCTTTTTTCCTACAGCTACACGTGTTCTCGTCGTTTTTCTGTGGCTGCGCTGTTTCTGCCATCTTCAGGATAGCTTTGTTGTGGCCATCTATTATTTGCTTGACGTTGGGCATGCAGCTGTAGCTGAGCTTTATGGTGTTCCTGTTGAAAATTTTCCTCAGCTTGTGGCCCGCTGGGAACGATCTTTCAATGGGGCTGATGAATGCATGTCCGATGTTGGTTTTGACACTTTTTTTATATGGTGGATTAAACCATATAACATTTCTTTGTCGTTTGCGTTTCTGTGATGGTGGTTGCTGTGGTGGTGGCTTGAATTCTAGTTTAAAAGCATAGCCACTCTTTCGTAATGCTTCCTGATATGGAGCCGATGCTTCATTAAAAACCTCGTGGTCGGAAGAAACGCTGGATAGCCGCCGGTTAATTGCTGCGGGTATGTTTCTGAGGATGTTTGGTGGGTGGTTCGATTGACTGTGAACGTAAAGCGGGGTGGTGGATGGCTTGGAGGATGGTTTGAATTTTCCGGTGTTTAAATCCAGTGTTACATCTAGGAAGTTAACAACTTTCTTGTTTGCATCAACTGTGATTTTCAGGTTGTTGTTTGCAAATATCTGGCATATTTGTCTTTTTGTCTTCTCTATCTGCCTTGGTGTTTGATTGAGTACGGCAAGCTCGTCGTCTCTGTAAAGGCCGATTTCGATTCCAGGGATCTGCTTTAGCTGCGACAGGAGGTAACAGCCCACCAGTTCATAAGTCTCCGCTCCGTCGTAGCTTCCCATGGTTACGTCAAAATTTGATGTTGAATTTCTCTTTTCCCATGGTTGGCCTTTGCTGAATAGCAGGGAGTGCTTGGAATTGATGACTGCTTGTCATTCGTTGGCTGAGATGTTCACATGTTTAGAGGCGAAGTCAAGGGCGCGTTTTAGGAGGGCTTCGGTAATTGAGGGATAGAATTCTACGACGTCAAAGCATATAAATGCCGAGCCGCATTTATTAGCCAGCTGCTTGAACCATTGAAGCACAGAGGATGTGTTCTTCCACTGGTTGACTTTTGTGATGTCGACGAGTTTCCGATTTATTTCTTCCAGGATTTTTTTGCTTATACGCCCTATCTCCGGTTTTGAAGGATTAATCAGTCTACAAGTAGGCTTGTTTTCAAAATTTTTTTTGTATATATATATATATATATATATATATATATATATATATATATTTTGGGGTGTGGGGGAGGATGTACCCTCTGGAGCCTCCCTGTGGATCTTTTATTGCAAGGGTTGTGTGACAGTCAACCTAAGTGGTTGTTACAGGAGGGACAATTATATGACAAGGCCCAAGGACAATCTCTTTGCTAAAGCTTGGTTTTCATATTTTGGGAAAATCTCAGGGGATCCCGTATTTTTCTTTTTCCTGACCATTTCAGATTTTGTTGATATATTGGATAGTCACCAGAATTCATTCGCAGATTTTACCGATATTGAATTGGCGGGAAATGGAAGATGAGCCAGAAGGACTGGAACACAGAAATTTAGAGGGTTGATAATGAGTGAAATCCATCACTTATGTCCCTGACAGTACAAAACTTAGTTTTCATTTTTTCAGGAATGATTGCTTACCATCTCCAGTCTGGGATGCGGCAGGAAAAAAGAAATGCTCCCGATTCTCCAGATTTGTCCCGACTATCCCAGAAGATCGGGGATATTAGTTGGCAACATCTGGGACTGTTTGGAAACAGTAAAATCCCAGATTGTCTGGCATTTTCCCAACATATGAAAACCAGGCTTAAAGATAATGAAAGTAATAATTCTGTTCTTGAAAGTTTGTGGCAAAGTGGAAAATTCTGTTTATTGCTTAATTTTGTTGCATTAGGAAATCTGCAGTTATTGGTGTCCAGCCCTTGCACACATCTTGGAGCAGAAAACAGCAAGTAAGAATGCAACAGAAATTAATGAAAGTTTATGAAAAAGAACTTAAAGAAGAGGCAAAGAAACAAAAAGAGGTAAGACACAGTCATTCACAAACCCACCATGCTAGGATGGCTTATTTTTTTCTAGACGTCTGGCTTAAAGCAAACCTAGAGTTGAGAATGTCATCTAATATCTTACTGTCCTATGGTCTAAAACTAGGATCACTTTCTTCCAAGCTATGTTTCCTGTTGCCCTTTTCCTGTTACCTTAATGTTTTATAGTCCCTTTCAAATGAATGATTAGCCATCTTCTGATATGTAGAAATGTATCATATGGATGATTCTTTGCCTCTTTTTTTCTTTTTCTTCTTCCTTTTTTCAGGAAAAACGAAGGAAAATAGAAGAAAGGAAAAAGAGAAGAGAGGAAAATGAAAAGAAATCACAAGTTGTACAAGTGGTAAGGTTCTGTAGGTGATTTTCACTCCAAGTATTCAGTTGACAAGAATCAACTTCATTACCCATCATGTCAGTAGCCACATAAGGACTTGGCTTTCTTTTCCTGTTCTTCACTGTCTTTAGCAACCACTCTGCAGTACCCAAGTTGCACTTTCCTGCATAAAGTTTTCTCATCTTTCACTGTCCACCTGCAGGTCATTTTCAGACTCTTTAGAATAGGTGACTCTACCATGGCGAATGAAGAATAATTATGATTTATTTCTGATAGTAGCACTAACCAATTTATAACTTCCTTTTTAATTGCTTTCAGATAAAAGACACAGCAAAGATAAAGAGAATGAAGAAGAAACAGCTACGAAAAATTGAAACTCGTTGAATATTTTGTATAAATTGATTTATTTATTTTGAAATAAACCAGAGTTGAATAGGGTTTTATGATAAAACTTAGTGTGGTGGTTTGGCTGTAGTTTGTTTCAATGTGGATATAATGTTTTACCATAAGAAACACAGCAGCAGACATGATGGAAAAGTCATTGCCAACTTTCCCTGCATTTTAGCCCACTAATAATAAATTATAATCAGCTAATCTTGTTTTTGACAACCCTTTCTTTGTTCACTGTTGCCACTGAGGCTTTGAAACCCTGATCCCCCTTAGGACAAAAAATCCTAAAATACATACCCTGTTTAGGACAAAGGACAAAGTGCATGTTTTCTTGGTTTAAAGCCATTTTTTTGTCAAACATAATAGAGCAAATTCGTGTTATAGTCATTGCTTTTAAATACTTGGAGTACAAGCAAATTTCATCAAATGAATAATTAGGACAGACTCGCACAAAATTATGTACACTGTTTAGGACAGAGTCACATAAAATTATATTTCCCTGTTTAGGACAGAGAGGACAAAGACCATACCCTATCCAACGGCACATCCCCATATAGGCCATTTAAGGCAGTACATCCCTTGGGGCCCTTTCTTTCCTAGTCCCTGGCATATATTCATCCAGTCCCCACTTCTCTCCCAAAATTACACCTTTTAATTCCAGACACTGTCCCATTTTCCTCTAGTCCTCAATTTTCTCCTAGTTCTTATTCATCCTCCTAGTACACACTCTTTTCCCTCCCAGTTCTTGCCCTATTTTTTTCCCAGTGCCCTTTCCTCACCCAGTTCTTACCCTTCTATCTTAGCTATTAACCCTTTCCCTCCCTCCTTCTCTTCTCTTCTAGTCGCCTCTTCTCTTCAAGTTATTTCCTCTTTTCCTCCCCGTTATTACATCTTTTCTTCCTAGTTCCTGCTGAAGTGCTGAAAAATTGGGGAACTGGTAGAGAAGGGGCATAAATTGGAAGAGAAAAGGGAAAAAAATTGGTAGGGAATAGGTGAGAAATGGCAGTGGGTAGTTACAAAGAGAGAAAAGGTGGATACAACTTGGAAGGAAACAGGTGGGAGCTGGTTACAAGGGGTGGAAAATGGAAGAGAAGGAGCAGGAACTGAGAGGGGAAAGGTAGAAAAAGTGAGGCAAAATGAAAGTAGCTTGAAGGCAGAGGTGTAAGACCAGGAGCCTGGGACAGGAACTGGAAGGGAAATTGGTAATAACTGGGACGGAAAGAGGAAATAACTTGAGGTGAATTGGGGGGGGGGGGGGGGGGGGGGGGGGGGACCCCCGGGGGGGGAGAAATTTGGGGCCGGGGGGTTGGGGGGGGGGTGGGGGGGTTTTTTGGAGAGTTTTTTTTGTAATTTATTTTTTTTTTTTTAGGGTGTGTATAAATTTTTGGTTTTGTTTTTTCTAGACACAAAATAAAATATGGGGTTATATGTCCCTTCTTCTCTAAAAATTTCAAATCTTTTTTTCCCCCTTCTTTTTCCTCTTTGAAGAGACGGGGGGGCGGGAGGAGAGGGGAGGAGGGGGTGGGGGGGGGGGGAGGGAGAAGAAGGAAGGGGGGGGAGAGGAGGGAGGGCGGGGGGGGGGGGGGGGGTGGGGGGGGGGGCGGGGGGGGGGGGGGGGGGGGGGGGAGGGAGAGCACCCTAGGAGGCAGCATTATATGGCCAAGTGGTTAGAGTGCTGGTTGGCGGGTAATTTTGAGAGTACTGTATCGATACTATATTGTCTTTATTCAGGTGGCTGTAAAATTTTTGGTATGCTATATTCAGTCACTAAATAATATGATGGGGTGCATGATCCTCCTGATCCTCAAAATTCTAATCTCTTCTTTCCCACTCTTTCTTACCCTTTCTCTCTCATCCACTATTTTTGATGGGTCGGTATATTTTGGAAATTGCCAAGTCATGATCAATGTGTATTTGCCTTGTTCTTTGTGTTTTTCTTTTACTCGCACGTCTCCACAATACAAACCGGGCAATTCTTTTTGTCCACCCCTGGTGGGGTTTGTTTTAACAATCGTCTGGGGAGCTGGCGGGATTGTTGATCAACACGTCATGCGCAGGCGTACAAATGGGAAAGTCGCCATCTTGGTTGCGAGATGTTGGGGAGTGATTAGCAATTCGTAAGTTTTTGTTATGTTTCATGAAGATTCTTCGGAGGATTTCAAGGAAAAGAAGTAAGTTTGGTGTTTAGAATTTCTGTTCTCTATTTAAAAAGTGAGTTGTCCAGACAAGATACACTGAAAGGTGAACAATTTTAGTTTCACTCGATTTACGTCCGTAGGACAATGGTTTCGGCTGTAGTTTTGGTGCTGCTACGTTCGATCACATGCGTTTGCTCGCTGAAAAGGTTACGTGCTCAAGATGGAGCACTAAATTTGAACTTATGTCAAGATCTGTGGCTCAATTCCTTAAATGTAGGTTCTGTTTTACGTTACTAAGTGTGAGTTTCAACCATAGCGGCTTGTTTGTACCGAGTGCAACTCGTGAAAGTCAACTCCGGACAGTTTGGCTTATCATTGGATAAGGTAAAATGGGCTCGGAACTTTTCTTTCCTTTCTTTTCTCTCACGTTTTCATGGCAATCGAGATCTTGTAGGCATAGGCAACAGTTGTCACTGAATTCATCGCCTACCACAGTTTTTCCCGAATTGTGATCTTTGTTTAGGTTCACGTTCATCGCAAGGAAGTGAGTAAAGCCGAGTTCGGGCGCACCCCTCGTCGTTAAGATCGGTAGAGTTTCAAGTAGCCTTTATTCAGAACATCCCTCTATAAGCGGCGTGAAAATTTGTGATCGAACAAATATGACGATTACGAGGGGATTTTACATTTGGATTTATCGTCGTCGCTCAAGTCAGCATGAAAGAGTTGAATCAATAGGGTGATGTATATGCGTTCTTCAATGTCCGGAATGTAGCCACAAATTGGTTTTATCCTTCAGAGGGAGTGCGGTTGTTATATTTCAAGGTATTTTGTCATCAGACCTCTTCCTTTTGCGTTCCTGAGACGTAAATGATTTCATTTTCTTAAAGGAGTTCCTAGGCTTTTCGCGGGGCTGCACAGTCGCGGCACTTAGCGAAACACGAGACTTTGAAAGCAAGAATTTACATCGATTTGCGTCGATTAATTTCCGGCGAAAGAGAGCAAAAGTGTTATTTTAGCTCATCAACGGACAATGTGTAGTTTAAACGTTCATGTCGTGTGTAAGTATTCTTTTGCACTTCTCTTATTGTGGAAATATTATTATTTTGGCATTTTGATTCCCGTTTTTGATGTGCAATGTTATTGAAATTGTTTCAACGTGTCCAAGGATGGAGCTGATATGAAGCCGCTATTATCTCGTGTCCAATATTGTACAGGTTTAGCGGTGCCTTGAAAAATTGTTTCGTAATTTCCGAGCACTATATTACTATTTTATGTTTTTCATTGATGTTGTTGTACGTGCTTGAGTTTTGGTTTTGTTTTTCATGAGTTGTCATTAAGTATAGTCGGATCAAAATTATGCACGCCTACAAATTATTATTACACCTATACGTGAAGATATAAGGTGATGTCATGCTAGAAACGCTGTGAGTACCTTGTTTAATTGGACAATACTACCACGATCACATTGTCATAATACAGAACTGAGATTGTAGCAAACTGACTGACACACTTGATATTTTTGTCCAATTTTTTGGGTTATACATGTATATATGTTGAGTTTTTTTTATTGTTATTAAAAATACAGATATTCCTGAAGGAAACTGTTATACATTAACAACACACATATTAAGAAACAACTGTTGTTGTAGTCCATAATCCTGTAAAATATGAAATTTCCTAGCAACACTGGTGCCCGTGAAATATTTTATACATGTTAGCTTTTTATCGGAAAATTAAGGATTCGTTTTGAAAAAATATGTATAATCGTTAATTTTTGACCCTTGTTACAAAGGGCTAATTCTTGGTTGCTTCATATTAGACTGTCATATTTAATACTAGTGTGCTAAATTTGCTATATGTTCATACGTGTATGATCATTTGCATACCTGTTGATGTTGTGTTTTAACTTGATAAGAAACTTGATACCCTACTTCCTATTTGGATATATTTCTTACATGCATGCTTTATACTAGAGTGGGGAGGTTCCATTGTGCATGTGGTTTTGCTTTTATATTTCTGTTGACATACTTTTGGTTTCTAGCTGGTGTACTTGTACTTAATTACAATGTGCGGAAGATGTGCATTGTTTCAAGAAGTAGTTCAGGATCAACAATGTCATTATGTTTAAAGTACTCATTAAAAAAAAGTCAGTAACAATGGCTTTGTTTAATAATAGTTTTATGGCAATCAATTATTGTTTTTGAATTTACTTTGCTAAATTTTAGGTTACCAATAAAATATTGTTTAAAAAAAAAGTAGAATAAAATAGTGAGTCATGTTTCACCTGGTAACTTTGGTCCTTTAAAGTTTTTTCAACGTCGCTGAACATTTAATTCAATGCTGAGAGCTAGAGGTAGCTGTCTAAGATTGAAGGATTTTTAAAAATAGAGTTTATGAAAGTGAATTTGAGGTCAAGATGATTATTAAATAATTTTAGGTTTATTTTTATTTTCTCATTTTTATCACATTTTTACTAATGCCTAATTATTAGGGCCAGTTATTTAAACAGAGTTTAGCCAGTGTTTAACAAACTGCGTTCTAAGCCATTTTCAGTTTGCCAAATGCTTTTGTGTAAACACCATGTATCATGAACGGTTTCATGAAAATATTTAGAGTAGACTAGAAAAGTATTTCTCAATTTAAAATAACCCACTGAGGAAGAGATCTGGAGGTCCAAAGATTTGTTAGAACGTGGTTTAAGTTAGACTTCATTTAAAAAACTGACTCTTGGTTTAAAAAACTTTTTCACTTAAGGTTAAGTTAAACTTCAAGACTCCAAGAGAAAACTCAAACTCAAAATGTAGAAATTCACGAAAATCCCCTAATTTCATTTTGTACAATACTGAAAAACAAAGTGGCAACTATGTAAGATCATTACTGATTAATTGCTTGGAAACACTTGGAATTTGTGCTCTTAAAATCATGCCATCATTGTACCACACTTAAAAAGCAAGGGTGCAGCAATGGTAAGAACATTTGCCCTCCCTGCATTGTGACATAGGGTCATATTTCCAGAGAAGATGCCATATGTGGGTTGAGACTGTTGTCAGTTCTTGAATAGGAACTTCTTCTTGCCATAAGAGGGTTTCCTCCTACTACTCTGGTTTTCCCCTCTCCTCAAATACTAGCATTTTTCCATTCCAAATTGATCCAAAATGTGGTATACAAAAAGCCACTGCGTGAATATTCTCCCACTAAAATCATATTTATTTTATTTAAATTATTGAAGTTGGAACTGCATATCACGTGCCGTCCATTGATTCAGAAAATAAAGAAAGTTTCTTTTATATCAGGTGAATTTGGGGGTCTATTGTGTGGTAACATTATTTTTCATAATACTTGTATGGCGTTGCCTACAGTAGTTGTCTGCTCTTAATGATAACACTTTCCTGTTCTTCATATTTCCTCAGGCTTTAGACAAGTGTTCTCAGATCTTTTGTGGACAGGGGGGTCCTGATGCGGCTATGCCCTTAGCCAAGGGTGGACTTTTTAGGAATCCGGAGTATGCAGGTTTATTTGACGAGCAAGACCCGGAAAAGCTTTTTGCCGATCTACGGGAAATTGGTCATGGCAGCTTTGGTGCTGTGTACTATGTAAGTGCTGAGCTCTTTTTTTTTTAAAGTTTTGGTCATTTGACCTAGGTGGTTTAGAATCTCGGGCTGAAAACTCTAAGCAATTTCTTGGGAAACTTTGTTGGTAAACTCTTTACCAGCAAGATACATTTAAACACAGCTGTACTGTGTGCCGGCCTTCAGTGTGTCTCAAATTGTGGCTTATCCTAGTCTAATCCTTATTCTCTACTGTGAGTTTGTTATATGATGGATTGTGCAGGTGTTCAAATTTCTGCCTGATGATGACTTGCATTTTACATCTTTCAGGCCAGAAATGTCAAAACAAATGAAGTCGTGGCAATCAAGAAGATGTCCTACAGTGGCAAGCAGTCTAGTGAGGTCAGATTACTAGTCAAACTTCTCCTTATACATTACATGTATCTTCTCAAACTCATTAATAATTCATTAAGAAAATACAAAGGAAATTAATTTTTAATGAGTGTTTGGAAATCGGATGAAACACTGCTTAGTATTTGCATCCTTAATTTCTCCTTCAAAAATGATTTTGTTTGAGAAGAAATATCAAACATTCGACACAGTGTTTCATCACCAGATGAAACACCTCGAAGTTCGTCAAAAATACTCCGCTGCGCGTCGTATTTTCAACTCTCTTCTCGGTGTTTCATCTGGTGATGAAACACTGCATCTCATGTTTGATATATTACATCAATATAATATAACCTCACTGATAGCATTGAGAGTAAAGAAATGCTATTAATTAGGGCTTACAGCTGACTCAGTGTTACATCTACATGCTGCTCTTAATAATAATAATAAGAAGAATAATGATGATGATGATGATGACGATGATAGAGATGATGATGATTATGATAACGATAACAGTAACGATGATACAGTAGAACTTTGAACTCCTATCAGTGAAGGAGTGAAATTAAAGTACGTGTAGGTGGCTCTGTCACTGTGATGTTACCTGCAACTTGCAATTTTTCTTGCACATAAGATTTGAAGAGAAGGTGAAGTAAAAATTGGCCACCATATGAGTTGAAGTGAAATTCGTAGGCTGCTGCTTTCACTTACATTGCTTATAGACGCTGTGAAGGCTTAGGGATTAGAGCTCTACGTGATTCAAGTGCAGCAATGATATTTGACTGTTCGACTGCCATGGATGTCTGTAGTACATTGTGTACATGTTTGATTCTTGATACTTTTGAGTGCCTGTTTTCATTAGTGTTAGTTTTTATGAGCTTAATCTCCTTGTTTAGAGTTTTAATCCTTCTCTGTTGATAATATTTCTTTTTGACTTGTAGAAATGGCAGGATATTGTGAAGGAAGTTAAATTTCTCAAGCTTTGTAATCACAAGAATACTATCAGCTATAAAGGATGTCATTTAAAAGAGCATACAGCATGGGTAAGAGTGATAAAGTTATCAATATGGCCAAAGTGGAAAATACCGTAATATTCTTTAAATTTCTGTTTCGGTGGGGCTTCATTGAAACCTGTCTTTTGCAAGATCTTTTGTTCTCTGCGTGTTTTGCACGTGCACCTTGTTCGTTTACATACACTGCACATGCAGTTTGTGCAAAAAAAATTGCAAAAGTAAGGTTTATATGAAGAGCCACCTAAATAACAGTTTTAAGAATATTATAGTATTTTCCGGTCTGGCCAATACTCAATCATTCTGGGGAGAGAAAGCTGGGGTAATATTTCCATGCACTGTAATTAGTTTTTTAAGAACAAAAATATACTTAGACCTACATGGTACATTTTATGTCTACTAAGTTGATGTATACATTTAATTTTGTGGAATTAGGATGACAGCACATGGATATATGTATGTGATCTTTGTAATAAAATAATCAACCCAAGGTAAAAAAAGGACCTGAATAGAATCATCCACTTGGGTTGATGATTTAGCTGCAAAGCTACAGCTGTATCAGTAACATATGTTTGTATACTTTTCCCCTTTGTTTTTCCCACTGTTCTTTGATTCATGTTGTGAATTCAGTTTGTGGAAGAAACTGCAAATTAAGATGCTTTACCAGAAGATCTATTTTAATGTGACACTATGCCTTCAACATTTGACTTAATACTTTTTCCTTTATTTGTCTTCATTAACGGCAGAAAAACAATGAGAGTTTTCAATGTGGTTGGTTTGGAATAAAATCAATAATTTGATATCCTTGATAAGTTTCATTGAAACAGTATCCTTTTCTTGCAGCTTGTAATGGAATATTGTGTAGGATCAGCATCAGATATTTTAGAAGGTGATTATTTTAGCCATGGAAAGATTTTGGTTTGTGGCATAGAATACACGTAGTAATTCTTTCTTACTCAATCATTCCTGAGACTGAATTGTTATACAGGTCCCAGGTATGCAATGGAAATAGCTAAAAAATGAAAAAGATATACATACACCTGATAGTCAAATAAACCCCCCAAAACATGTATTAATGAGGATCTTTGAAACTTATTGCCTGTTCTTAGATTAAAATTATGTCCTTGGTTTACAGCAACCATTGTTTTTAAGGTGCAAAAAATTGTTCAGTCTATGAAAGGGGTTTTATGTATGTATTTTCTAGGCTTATGATTTCAGTTTCTGATTACTTCAGCTATAGTCTGGAAATATTGATAAGTGTATCCAAATGAAACAACAACGTAGGCACTTGCCAGTGCAGTTGCAATATTATTGCAATAATGCCCAAAGGTAGGGAAAAACGGGCAACAAAAAACATGCAACTTGTCTTACAGCATTGCTGTAAATCAAGTTGAATAGGGATGTTGCACGTTTTACCACCCACATCAAACCTGTGATGCCACAAATCAGGTTGTGAACAGTTTTGAATGTTGGTGGTAAAATGCGCAGCAGCACTTTTCAACTTGTTTTGCAGCAATGTTGCAAAACAAGTTACACATTGTTGTTGCCAGTTTTACCTAAGCTAATGTTACTTCTTTTTGCAGTTCACAAAAAGCCCCTTCGAGAAGTTGAAATTGCTGCAATATGTCACGATGCATTACAGGTAAAAAAAAAATCAATTTTTTCATGTTTTTAAGTTGGAAAATGGTAGAATGCCAATTTTTAAGGCAACAGTGGTTCCTTCCTCTACCCTTCATTCTTCCCATATTTTGTTAACAAACGTGTGCCATGATTATTGATATTTTGGGAGTGACAACTCTCTTGCAAATACCAAAGCGTTAATGACAGCTTTTTCTCCTCTCATGTATCAAAAGTTAATGGTTCCTGACATTTCTGATGTGTTTGAAGTGCATTAAATTCATAAAACGGGATAACAAATAACAGTACAGAAACACAACTGCAGATGCAACCTTTATCTTTAGAATCAAAATACAGCTGTTCATACATAAACAGTCATCGTGACTGTGGGTTTTCTTGTGTTGCCATCATCGTTATTAGAAGAGTATGTGGAAGATGGTGTTACATTAATATTGTTCTACAACTCTTTTTTTGCTTACTTAGGGACTAAGATATCTGCATAGAAATGGCAGAATTCACAGAGATGTGAAAGGTAAGCTCACCAGAGAGATATTTACTTCTTTACTTTTATGTACTGTATTACTCTGGTGTAGTTCTCTTAACTGCAGTGCAATAATTGCATTACCGGCCTCAAAAATGGCTGTTAAGTTCATTTTAGCTTGTCCTTTGTGTTACTGTTTGAAAGTTGATTTTCATTCCAAAAATCAAGAGCTGGTCAACCAAATCCTAAAGGTGTCAAAAACTTTTACTTCTTAAAAATTGGGTACCCAGTTGTTCTTTTGTTATTTTCTTTTAATTTACACAAGGTTTATTGTAAATTTTCAGTATACAGGCATTATGTTGCGTAAATAAAATTAATTGTCTACACTTATAAATTTTTCCTTTTATTTCAGCTGGAAATGTTCTTTTGACTGAAGATGGGACAGTAAAACTAGGTAAGCTTGTTATTTTTAAGTGTTTTATCGCCTTAAATGTTTTTCTTGTGCACGGTACAACCCTGCAAAAAGTACCTTGCATTTTTATCAACACTTGTCAGTCCCCAGTTGTTCACAAGGTGGGTAACACTATCCACTGAATTAATCTCTACCCAGTGCATAACATGATAGGTTTCCCTAACAATAATCTGACTTACACATTTGCTTATTGTACACATAATTATCATTTATCTTGTACTTGTAGTTTAAATTTTACTTCCCTTTGTTTTAAACTCATTATAACACATTACCATGCCCCAAAACAAAGGGAAATAAAATGTAAACAAACGATAAAATTGAACCACAACATATTTATCAAGGACCAGGTCCCCATTGAGCATTTTTTTATGTGACTGCAATTTAATAAAGTTATGCTAGTTAAAGGAACAATAGCACAATGCATAATTAGGCTGCTGTCAAAGAGGCATATCTTGTATTTGTTTTTGTACATGTGTATGGGATTTCTCTTCCTTTAAGTACAGCTGTAGCATTACTGATGTCTTTTTCTTGTTTAGCGGACTTTGGTTCAGCAGCTCTCTTGGCTCCTGCCAATTCATTTGTGGGAACACCATACTGGTAAGATAAACATCAAACCATAGTTCATGAGATACATATAATATATATGTGCCGAGGCTTTTTGTGCGTGTTGAGTAGTTATAGTACTTCAGTACCTCGTATCCAATTAAAAGTTATCACTTAATAAGGGAGTGGAGGGGAGGCAAAGGTATGATGAAGAGTGTATGTTTGTGTCTGACATGATGATGATGGCAACATTTTTCTTGGTGTGGCCTTTTTCGTTGTCATTTTGCAAAGGACAATCAAAAACTGACAAAGCCGACTTTGCAGACCCCATTTTGCCCCTAAAAATTAATGTCAAGATCCAATTCTGTATGTGCAGTTTCCATGGTCACATTGGATGTTTGAGCATGAACAGGTTTTTGGGGGGAATTTTAATCATTAGTTTGGTTTTTGTTTCTCAGGATGGCCCCAGAAGTGATCTTAGCCATGGATGAAGGACAGTATGATGGGAAGGTGTGAAAAGAAGTTTAATGAAAACATTTCTAAATTTTAAACATCTACATAATAATTAAGAAATAGCTAACTAATTAATTTTGACTTTGCTTTTGTAGGTGGATGTGTGGTCCTTAGGAATTACATGTGTTGAATTAGGTAAGGTTTTCCGAACTGGAGGCAACATTTTTAGACTTGTAGTGTTTCTCTTGTCAAAGGTGCAGGTTGGTCAGAAATTACGAAATGCTGAAACAGTTCACCCTTACTCAATACAGCAGTCTTATAAAGTACATGTAAATAAAAATTACCTTAATGTTCTTGTGTCCTCCATTTAGTCCCTCACATGCGTATTGAGCTCAAATCTATAAAGTTTCTCTTCTTGAGTTTTAAGTTAAAAGGGTAGCTGAAGGACGTTTCTCCTGATATTGATTTAGTCCCTACTATGACGTTTTGCATTGTGCACCTTTCCTGTTTTGTCTCTTGGCCATAAATTTTATAATGCTGACCACCATGATTACCTACAAAAATGGTTTGCAGGCTCGATGTAAAAGAAAAATCTGAATGCAGTGAAACTTAAACCCACCTTTACGGTCTCACTTTCAAAAAGAGACCCAACCCCCACCACCACCTCCCTCCAAGATCTGTGACTGTCCCAGAATTGCTTAGTAGCAAAATGTGATACACTTTTCTAAGTTTGTGTTTAATTTATGACTCGTGTGGGATCAGGTGCATAATGTTAATGTTGCCCTTTCTTTTTCAGCTGAAAGAAAACCACCATTGTTTAACATGAATGCAATGAGTGCTCTTTACCACATTGCCCAGAATGATCCCCCAATGCTCTCTACTCCAGAGAACTGGTTAGTCATAATTCCAAACTTTTCTGCTTTTGTGGGTGACAGAGGAGATGATTATTAAACAAACAGTCTGTATCATAACAATACAACTACTGTGTACAAATGACATCCACTCATGGGAAAAATATCCAACTTACATGTAAATTTGGCTATGTCTTATGAAACCCTGCTGTGGTTGGACATGATGACCAGGTAGATCAAACACCAAAGATTACAACTGTGAAAGGTTTGAACCCAGGAGTCGTTTCATAAGTAGGTTGAGTATGACCGTCCGGGTGAACGTAGTCCTGAATAGGACTGTTGTTGGTTACAGTGACTGACATTTCTACAACCTTTGCAGTAGTCATTTTCAGAGTCAAAGTGAGTTGTACATGTCAGTTGCAGGTATTTAACCAAAGACTACATTTTAAACTTGGAATACCGTAGTAGTTAAAGAAATTCAAAGTCAACAAAATATTCTGTTTTGACTGACTAAATGTTGACCTGATTGGACATATACATATCCTTTTAATTTGTGCAGCCCTGTAATATCAGACTAGGAAATTAAAATTGTCTTTTTTGTGTGTGAATTTAAGGTCTTCTTGTTTTGTGGAATTTGTGCAGCTGTGCTTGAAAAAGCAGCCTTCTGTGAGACCAACAGCAGAAGATCTACTGGAGGTACATAACAAAACATTTATGATGATCAAACTGTAATATTTTTTTTGCGAGTGATAAATTACTCAGTTCTTTATTTGTGGAATGAAAAGCTTTGGAATCAATGCTGTCCAGGACTGTCAATTAACAAATCCTTGCATAATAAACTCAAGGGGCAAGTATACTGACAGCATTGCAAATGTCTTTAAACTACATGTATAGCCTTCATACCCTTAAGAAATGTGTTGTGCTACAGTATCAATTCAATTCTAGCACTTAAACATTTGCATCATGCATCACTAACAAACTTTCCATTCACTGTTTAGGTTGAAGATTTTTTCTTGCTGCACTTTTCTGAGGGTGTTTTTGTTGTTGTGTTTTATAGCATACTTTTGTCTCTCAACCAAGACCTGAAGGAATCCTTTGCGAACTGATTGAGAGAACAAAACAGTCTGTCAGAGCTCTTGACAATATGAATTACCGCAAAATGAAAAAGATGATTATGAGTGATCCATCAGGTGAAGGAGAGGAGGGAGATAGCTCAGTTGCTGAGACAGAAGATGATGATGATAAGTCGGAAGCAGTAAGTTTTTTCTATAACATAACTACATGTGTTTACTTGTAGTAAGAATATTTTCCATGAATAGAAATTCCACAATTTTTCCCTCAGATAACAAGTTCGCCTAGTTTGGTGTGTTTGTGTTTGTTTGTTTGCTTGTTTTCATTTTTTCATTTCTTTGGAAGTCATCTTGAGGACTTTTCTTGTTTCTACAGCATACGTGTAGCTGGCATAGGCCTCTACATGTATTTACACCCTGGTGCTTAATATGCCATTGGTTGTCAAAAAAAGTCAGTTTACAAAATAAAATGTCTTTAAACTCCATTTTTAAAGGGTGTCGTTTTGTTAAAGGATTTAGACCAATCGTAAGAGTTGCAAATAATAGCCAAGAAAAGTTTACCATACATGTTCCTGACATAGGAATTCTGTGTTACTTAGACTCAGATGAGATTTTGTGATAAGGATGTTGGTTAGAAAACAACGGATAAAATAAAGATGCTGCTTTGCAGTTTAAACCAATCAGAAGTATAGTAGAGACAATAGTAAAGTTAACACCTTTTTGATTCCCACGTGTTCATTCCCACGTGTTCATTACCATTACTTAAATAAATTCGCTCTGTAACTTACCCTGATTAGGCAGACTCTGCTCTCCTTACATATGATTGCATTGAATTCTAGTGCACTTTGATAGCATGCAGAATCAGTTAGAAATATTTTTAGAAGATACCTTCAACCTACTAAAGGTGCACTCTCTTTCTCTCCTCTCTCTGTACTCCAGTCGTTATTCCTTGTTCCCAAGTCAGCATGCCATGTAAACTTTGATGGGGTGTTGGACGAAGGGGATGGGCCATCTGCATCAGAGGACAGCTTAGGATTCTCTGAGGACTCCTTATCTTCGTCTCAGTCATCATTTCTTCGATACAGAACACCAAAGGTTCTGTTTGTTCATCTGTTGCATGTTCATCCAATGCATGTTCATACAGTCATGCACTCTGCTCTTAACTCATACTTCTATTAAGTCATTATTTTTCTTTACGTACTTGCTTCTTTATGTGACAGTAATTGTGGTAGCTGCGAAGAGAAGTGACAAAAACAACTTTAAATTAAATCTGTCGTGGTAGATGGAATTACTTCTATTTCAGCTTGCTTGTTATTGGTTCTGTGGATAGAACTATGTGTGTGCTTTATCCTGTGTGTAAAAAGGGTGTTTACTTGCGATGTAATTTCTGTATTTTTCTTTTATGTGGACATTTCAGTATACCACTAGCATACATACTGTTTTGATATGTCATGCTGCATTCATTCATTCACAAAATCACCAAGGGCACCAGAAATGAAACAAGTGAAGTCCCAACAAAGACTTAAATCAAGCAAGTGTTGCCTGCAAATTTCTGCCTCACATGTAGTGTTTTTTTCAGTGATTTTCCAGAGACTGTAAATTTAGTAGCTTATTGGATAATATTCCTTTGACTCTACCTCTCTGAGAGTCAGTGATGTCAGTCATGGATGGATAGATCATACTAACATGGAAATTGTGGACAAAATCCTATGATGTGACCATTCAAATCAAGAATCTTTTTTTTTACTTTTACCCAGCAGTATATACATCATGATCTTTAACAAACTGAAGTTTTGCACTCTAGATGAATTTTGGTTTTTGTCTCGTATAAGGGTATCATAGTGGAAGGTTACCTAAACTTTGCAAATATGAAAAGGTTAAATGAATAATTCCACAGAGGTTACCTTTACGTTTGGTAATTCAAATTTATATAATGTTTTTGTGTCATATTGTTTTCCATTAGAGTGCAGAGCTTCCTAATAATGCCAAGAAGGCAAGTGTTAGTAGTGTGGCTAGTGTTGCAAGTAGTACAGACAGCATGCAAGGTGTGGATCATGACAGTGAGGCAGGACCAGCAGATACTCCATCCTTTGTGGTGCCTTCCATAAGTGTAAGCATTAAAATAATATTTTAGGGATCTTTAGTTGCTGGGCTCAAAGTCCGACCTGCAAATAACAGACGGTCATCGGAAGATGTCTGACTAAAATTTGCCGATGTCTCACAAAATCTAGAATGTTACAATCACCTCCCCTATTTTTTTCCATGAGATCATCGAGAATGGGCCAATGCCTGCCCCCCATCAGTGCATTTGAATCTAATTACAAAACAGTTGCCAGTGATGGTGAGCCCTGGGGGTTTACCTGTGGGAATTCTTGGTGGGGGAGTACAGACCAAAAAAAGTCATTTTCCACACCCGTTTTCAGACCCAGCCTTAAGGGCAGAAATTATGTCATAATTACTTAGATTAGAGCGCAAACAAAAAATTTCTTCAAATGCATTTCAAATTCAACTACTTCTATTTCTTTCTTATTCATGTGGAATTGAAATGATAAATACGTTCATAGGCTTCCTTGGTTTCCTCGAAAACCATACCCGATTCCAGACCAAAATGGGCAAAGTGAATACCCAAATTCAGACCAAAAGGCCGAAAGCTTTGGGGCAGCGCATACCTAAATGGCTTATATAAGGGTTCCCCCCCCCCCCACCCCAGGTGGTTAGCGCTTGATGGTTGTGCTGAGAAATAGGAAAGTTTAATATTTCTGGTTGCTGGGTATATGTATTTAGTAGGTGGGGAATTGAATAGTCAGAAAGTGCTTTTGGTTCTATTTTCCTTATAATTATTTCCTGTGAAAAAAGCTGGGAGATATCCCTAGGCCATGGCCATTAGTGGCAGCCCTGACAGTGTTAGTGATTTTAGTGCACCCAATTTGTAGTATTTCTTTCAGTAAATGACAGCTAAATTTTCAAGTAAAAAGTGCCTCAAAATAATTTATTTTTCAATCTATAGTTAGCACAGGGCCGTGAAGAAGACGACAGATTTGCAACCATCCGTCCTCAGAACATTATTGCAAGACAGCACCAGGAACACATCAACAGGCAAAATGATGAGATGAGAGATCAGCTGGAGGTTTACAAGAAACTTAGACAGCATCACCAGAGGGAAGTACAAATACTGGAGAGCAAGTTACAGGCAGAGATGAATGAGCATAGGAGAACACTTGACAAGGAATATGATACACAGGTGTGTAATATTTAGTTTTAAATTCCTCTTTTAAATTGAGTACACCAGTCAATGTCAGCAATTATTTCATAATGTATAGTTAAGGTTTCTGGTGCTTAAAACAGATCTTGTTGAGCAATAGAAACTGTTTGAGATTATCTTTAAAAATCATTTTACGCCTGAGTAGGTTATGACCAAGTTCCAGGTCCTGGAATCCTGGAAATGTACCCTGGGCATCTTCTGGAATCTCTCTCTGTTTCAGTTGTTGTACCAACCCTGATTTGATATTGTAATGTCGTGTGGCTCATGTTGAGCAGTAGAGGCTGTTGGACGATTTCTTTAGAATTTCCTTTAAAATGTGATTGGGTTATTTCATTTACAGCAAAAGATTTTAGTTCCGAGGTAGGTTTGCAAGAAAACATCTTAAGAATAAGGGAACTCGTAAATATTATTTCAAGACAATAGGTTATTGCTCCAGAACAAACGTTAAGAGCCCTCATATCTTGAGAAGGTTTTATGGAACCTAGCCCTGGTCCAGAAATTCGTATTATTGTACCTGAGCAACATTTTCTGTTTTTTAGTAGTAGTGCTGACCCTGAAGTGACATTGTAATGTAGAGTGGTTTTCGTTTGAGTGTCGTAAAACCAAAACCAAAGTAATTACTCTGGCCAATCACATAGGACACAGACAATACATTGAACCAATCAAAACTCGAAGTAATTGCATGTGGCTGACGCAAAGCGCGTCGCGTCACAATTGGCTTTGGTTTTACTTCTGATTGGATGAAAAGGTGGCGCGAATCTTTTAAGCCAATCGCATCGTGTAGAAAGTGCAAAACCAATTACTTTTCGACACTCAAATGAAAACCGCTCTATCGTGTGAATGCCCTGTGTTTTTAGGTGCATCAGTTCGAAAGAGACCTGGACAGATTAAGAGCAAGACAAAAGACGGAAATGGAGCAAAAATTAAAGCAGATGACTGCTGATGAGAAGAGACTGCTTAAACACATTAAGGACAAGCATGATAATGATCTGAAAACTTTTGTTTCCGATCAAAAGGCTGCATACAAGGCTGCAAAGAACCAGTTCAAAAAGGTTAGCATAGTTGACTCTCGCTGAAGTATTTATTTGGCGTTGTCGGATTGCCTCACTACGTTGATAGAGGCACGCAGATGAGGCGTTCATAATAACTGATGTCTTGGCTCATTTGAAATAGGCAATATATTTGAGCTTATAATATGCGAAAAAGTTTATTTAGATGACAGTGTATTAGAACGAAGCACCGTCTTCCGGGTCCGGTCGATCTACACCCCAACCTCTAGCCTGTGTACAGACGCCCCCATCCCCTCAGAAAAAAATTGGGGAGAGAGAGGTCTGTGAACTCTGTCACCGATTTCTTCTGAGGGGAGGGGGGCGTCTGTACACAGGCTACGCAACCGCCCGCTTAACCCTTCATGTCGCAATATCCACATACAAAGTCTCCAGACATTTCCTTAAAGAGCTTATTGAGAGAATCTGATAAAATATCTTCGTACTTTCCCTTTGATAATCATTTTATTGAATTCTCATAACCTTTTCCTATGACGATGTGTGACTATTTTCGGGAGAAAATTGATGTTAGCAACTCTCGGGAATAAACGTCTAGCTTTCAAGTAACCTATCCAACCCTGACGCCCTTCTAATGAAGCCTTTCTCATCGACTGTGACATTTTTGACACACCACCTTTAACCTTGTAGGACCAGAGTCACCGTATGTCTTATCAGGGAAGGAAAAGTTCATTTCAAGCTGCTCAAGAAACTGCACTGCAGGAAAAGATTCACGAGCATAACATTGTGCGCAATGCTGAACTCAGAAAGTTTCGCAGAGAGCAGCTCTTGCAAAGGCAAAACTTGGAAAAAGTACTTCTTACTGAGGTGAGAAGGACAAGTGTTATTATATAGTTTGCACCGTATTATTTCTGTTTACCCGTTAAGTCCCGAGATCCACATACAAATTCTCCTGACTGATCTCCATACATTTCTTTTAAGAATAGTTGAGAGAATTTGGTTTAAATTCAACGCGTTCTTCCTTTGGTAATCAGTTTACTAATTCTCATAACCTTTACTCTTGATGATCTGCTAATGTTGTTAGGAGAAAGTTAATGTTGGTCACTCTTGGGACCTAAAGGGTTAAGGTAATAGGATAGGTTTAGTCTCATGGTATTTTTTAATGATATTAGAGCCAGCTCAGTACCCTGAGTGACGTGCATTCAGTCGCAAAGAATCTAATAAGCCATTCCTTTGCGGTAGGCTAGTAAGGCCATAAAATCCAAGCAAAACAAAACTAGTTGGAGGTCTATGGTAAATGAAGGGAGTTTTATAACGAATCAATGATCATTGAACAAGGCTTCTTCGGGAGAAAAGAAATGGTATAAAATAGTTGTTACAGCCAAAAAAAAATAGGCGCTCAAAACATTCGTTTGGCTGCTAGCTCTTTGTTAGCTTTCATAGAATTGGAATTTCAAATTTCTTCTTTTTGCTGCATAGGAGATGAACATGTTAGAGAGTCAAAAGGAGCTGTCACATCAGATGCTTATCAGACATCATGATTGTACCCAAGACATGGAGTTTAGACACCTGAATGCCGTGCACAGACTGAGAAGAGACCAACAATACAAACAGCATCAGACTGAACGGACATCTCAAGAGGAATATAACAAACGAGTAGAGATGGAGCTTAGAAAAAAGCACTTGTTTGAGCTCAAGATGCAGCCCAAGACACTCAAGGTAATGAAGGAGTGAAACGTTGTGGGGAAAGTCGCGTTTATGAGCTGAGGTTTCCCCTCGGACTAACACTGCGTCCGAGTTTTGGAGGTTGGTAACAAGAGCCGGGGATTGCTGGTCTCTGCGGTCTGGCTCGCTTTGCCGATTTGACTTTTACCCCGTTGTTACATGCACACGAAGCGAGCCAGACTCAGGGTAGCCATGTTAACAGCGGGATTGAAAGCAGTGCGCATGAGCAGTGTGTTGCCCGCTGTCCTGATTCTTGTTTGTTTCGCCTGGCTGGCCTTGCGAGCGTGGTTAAATGGAAAATTTCCATCTCGGCTAACGGGGTTGGCTTGGTTGTCATGTAATCACAAAGTTGATTTTTTGCAGATCGAGATCGCGACAAATCAAGCCAGCCCAGTTCATGGAATGAGCCCCCTAGTTCTCCAGCAACTTTCAAAAATCAGAAGCTTTTTGGACTTATATTTTCATAAAGTGATCTATTAGTTTCTAGAGTTCCCCACCAACCGCAGCTCGAGCAGTGAACAATGGCCAATTATATTAGTTTCCTTTAAAAGTGGTTTCTTATTGCGTGGGAAGTCATTTCCAGACTGTTTTGGTTTCCCTTTTCTGATTTTTTATGTTAAAAGATAAAGAAATCTCACACCAGTTTCTTAAAAACTTCAAGGTCTCCTGCAAATTGTAATCTCGTTGTTTGTCTTATATCAGGCGCGGGAAATGCACATAAAGAAGCAATATAGAAACGCTATCAAGACCCAGACGCTACAGTACAAAGCTCTTCAAAAGCAGATCCTAGAAAAAGCGCCGAAAGAGAAACATAAGGAGCTTACTAAGCAGCTACGAGAGGAAAAAATGAGAAAAATGGCGGATCTGTCAGTGCAATACGATCAAAGTATCTCTGAAATGCTGCAGAGACAAACGGTAAGCGACAAATGAGGGTTTCACTACCGTGATATAACAAAAAATGGCGAAACACTTTTCAAAATGTTTTAGTTTCTTAAACACGAGAAAACTACGGAAGAAAAATTTAGGACTAGCTCTAAGTATGGCAGAGGCATCTAAGAAGTATGTGTGGTTCACTTATGTGTAACGGACGGTGACAGATGAGTTGGGAGTGTTTGTTATGTTTGACAACAACTAAGTTCTCATTTTGGTTCCATCCTTTAATAACCGATGGGCAAATAAGGAAATGTGTAGCAACGCAAGAGAAGCCTGGGTGGGTACCTTAATCTCCTTAAAACTCTCCCCGGCGTGTTGTCTGAAATCTGTTAAGCTTTGAACAAATTAGCACTAACCAAGAATTTGCTGTTACATAAGCAATTGGAGAAAAACACGCCGCTCTTTTAACCAGTCAGAACGA